TCACACTCAGAGCTCAGTGTTTAATGTGCTCATTTGTTGTTGCTGTTGTTGCTGCTGTTGTTTGCTGAGAATCTGGCTACGAGTCTGTTGGAAGTCGTCACGCTCGTGAAGGTTACACAGAATCTCACAGCGAACAGCTTGTTGTGAAGTCGCGTGTTGCAAGTCGTTACATTACTTATTACTTGAAGATACTCCTCCCTACTTTAACTCAGCTCAACCAGCCCACTGTCAAAATTGTCAATAGAATTGGCAAAAAAACAAAAAGCAAAATAAATAATTCTAATAAAATAGCGAACGTCGTTTGAGATTTGATGTTAATTGCACTTGAATGTGCCTTGCCCGTTTCGTAGATATATATATAATATATATATATATATATATATAGACATACATACGTGCCTGGTATCGTGGGCATGCAAAGCATTTTTAGGCTGCCTCTTGTGATTGCCATTTATTGGATTTTTTGGAGCGTTGCAAATATGCATGGAATATACACATACGCTTACCTACTACGGATACTACGATATAACTTTGCGTTGGCAAATGGAATATGCTTTGCATTTTTTCTTTATATTTTCTGTTTTTTTTTTTTTTTTAATTTTGAAAGGCACTTTCTGCAATCATCCCGCGCTTGGGAAACATTTTCGAGAGTGATATTGTTCAACGGCAAATATTTTTGTAAAAGTTTTGCATGTCAGCAACAGCTTTTAGGCCAATTTTTAATTGATCTTTGAATAAATTTCGGACTACAAACTATAATTAACGTAAAAGACTGAAAAGTAACTAAAAACAAAAACCATGCTTCAGGCACGCTTTGCAAATTTTCCACTGCCATAACTTAATCCAAACTAAGCTGAGTTTTTTTTGCTAATGGTCTGGCATCTTTAGTTTAAAACTCGACTTTTGGCTGAAGTTCACATAAAAATTCCACTTAAGGATCGTTCCATATTTTGCCACAAAACTAAACCCATTTTCGCATCTAAATAAAGACTGCTTTTAAATGTCAAAAGTCGATTTCACAATTCATGTACTAGCCCCCTTTAGTCATCTGGATAGTATCTTTTCTTGCCCTAAACTACAAATATCTATGAACAATCTAAAAGCTAAAACTATTTTATATATGTACATATGCATGTTGGACACATTCACAAGTGCCTGTTACATTTTGTTAATTGCGTCGCAGATAAATGCGGACATATATAGTACATATGTAAAGTTAATTAGCATAAACTCAACTCAAAGTCAAGCAAACAGCAGCAGTCACAAATGACATGGGGGTGCACAGCACTCGAGGCATACTAAATACGTATCTAAATATTGCGAGAGTTAAATCGGTTGTTTAACTTATCCTCGATCTGCAATTAACCGTCGAAATGTTGGGCAAAACCCAGCAAAACAGAGACAGAGACAGAGAGAGAGAGAGAGAGGAAAAGCAAAAAAGAAAACACATTTTCCAGTTATCGATTAAACACGAAGGAGCAGCGAAAGTTCTGGGAATAAGTGGCAACCAGTTGGCTATAATGGTAACATGACGCCAGGCATTAAATGCCGCACCCTGGCAACCACTGGCGTCCACGGAGCCACCCAACTCCGTGCAGCTCCCAGTCCCCAGACTGACTGGACGTCCTTTGGGTAGTTGGCTGCCGGTTGTTGTTATTGTTGTTATTGTTGTCATATGGCAAACAACTTCTTTCTGGACTTGTTTTGCCCGGCATGCGGTTGTCATGGTAAAAAATGTGCCGTAGCAAAAAACACATGTATCTAATGGATTGGGGCGGGTGCCAAACTCCATATGTGTATGTAATGTTGGGTACTTTATCTGACCAAACTCATGCACAGTAAACAATTTTAGAACTCTCTCTATCATTCATGCAATATTATTCACATATCATGGCAATTTAACAGGTAACTGGTAGTATTTGTTATGCGAATCTTTTGTTTACTCCTTCCTAGAATTAAGAAATATTATGTGCAGAGCTACGTAATTTATACAACAAAATTGCTCCCAGTGTAGCCACATATATTGGCTAATGGATAAGTTTGGGTCCGCTGATTGCGACTTTGCATGCAAGCGCAAATCAAAATGTTCGAAACAAAAAAACCAAAAAAGCAAAACTTTTTATCGGTTTTCGGGGCTTGGGCAGTTCACTAATGAAAATTGGAGCAAGCACAGATATATATATGTAGCAAATATGTAGATATAGCATATGTATATATACATATCATATCATATCTTATCTAATTTGCGCAATTAAAGATAAAATGGGTAAAATCTAGGAGGCCCTCTTATCTCCCAGTGGCCTTCGACTGAAACTGTTTAATGTAAAAATTCTCTCGTAAGTCGCAGCTAAGCATTAAGAATTTATTGAGAATTGAGTCTGATATCGAACATTTTGTAAATATTTATATTGATGTATGCTTTAAACCAAAGTCGGCACACTTTAAATAGAAAAACTAATGCTGATAAGCTCCGATTGCAGTGAAATGAAAAACTCAAGATAAGCAATTTGCTGCAGTAAAATAAAAAACTCAAGATAAGAAACCTGCAGCCATTGACTGAAATTTGATATGTTCAAGGTTGAAACTATATATGTATGTATATATATGATTGCAGCATAGAAAGATACGTTTCTATACAACTACTGTTGACACAGTCTTTGTCAGGCTTGAAAATTATGCAATATCTTTGAACTATTCAAGTTCAGTTCAGTTTAAATATATTCTCATTCAGCTTAAAGCTTGTTTACCATATCCCTGAATATCTTATGGTAATTAGGCAAATGTATTCAATATATGTATATATATATCTTTTTTTTGTTTGCAAATGAGCTCAGCTTTTAAGCCAGTTGTCAAATAGGCTCGCAACACCTTATTATTTGTTTGCTTTTGTATTCTTTTTTTAAACTTGTATTTGCTGTAGGTGTTTGCTCTCTTATCGTATTTTCTAATCGACATGAAGTTAGTCAAGTGTACAATTTACCGACAATGATCACTCAATAATTGGCCATTATTCCAACAGTTATCGTTTGAAAAATAAAATACTTTCACTGAACCTTTAAATTTGTAATCGTATATTAATTCTTAAGTATAATTTACCTTTGTTCCTTGGCGTATTGCTCTTTATTGCATTTAGCGATCGATTGACAAGTTTTAATGCTACTTAAGAATTCAAGTGCATTGCTTTCAGGCGATTCCCATGAGTTGTAATCAAAGAATCAGCAGAATTTTTATTGAGTAGTGCACTTAATAAAATATCACGAAGCACAAACACACACACACACACACAAATACACAGCACAGACGCAACAGAAAACCACTTTCGTTGTTTTTCAGCAGAACTTCAGGTGCTATATAGATGGCGCCACTTAACGTTGTTGACGACGCCAACAACAACAACAGTAACACACACAAACACAAGAAACCGCTGCAAAGACACAAGTTGATTGAATTTTTGTTCGCTGCTGATTAAATCATTTAATGCGTGGCCGTTAATTAATTTGCATTTAATGATGCTATTATATTTAATAAATTTTATTTTGATATTTGATAAGCAGGTTTTTGAAAGCGAACTGCTTTTGTTGGTTGTTTGGAGTTGCTGTTTAAACACACGCGACGTATGCGACTGGCGCTCGCAACGGACGCGTATCGAATGGTGTGGAGAGTCACAGTCACGAAGAGACGAAGCCCCGTCGCAGTGAGCGCAGCACAACCTGTGCGTCGGCGTCGACGCTGACGTTGACTGCGCACTGGCGCTGCCAACGCAGAACAGTTACGAAATTGGAGTTTGTGACCCTTAGTAACATTTAAACAAAAGATTTCTACTAATTACAGCCTAAAATAAAAGCAATGAACATATCTAAATATATATATAGATATTTACATATGTAAATATGTAGCTGGCATGTTGTCCTTATTTTATTGCTAAATGTATTTATGCATTAGTTATATATTTGCAGTAAAAAATTATGACCAATTCATAGTCATTTTTGCCCACTGTGCATAGTGCTGTCGCTGAGTTTTTCGTATGTTTATGAAAATGTTTATAAAGCAAACGTTTCTTGTACTTTTTGGCAACACCGGTTTTATTTTAGCTGGCTCAGGTAAATATCTACATATATATTTATAGATATATTTATTTTTTGGTAAGCACAATTGTGAAGATTTTGGAGAATTGGATGCGGTTGTTGTTGTTATCTTGTGTGTGTGTGTGTGTGGGTGTGTATGATATTATTTTTGACTGACGCATGTTAATGTGTGACAGGTTTCATTTGTTGCACAGCTGTGTGAAAATGTACAACTTTTGTTGTTGTTTCTGCTACTGTTGCTGTTATTGTTGAGACTCCAGTGGGTCTGCTGCGGGTCTCTTTGTGACGGGTTCTCTTCCGGTTTTTCCTTGTTGCTGGTCCAAAATCAAAGGAAAGTTCCGAATTGACACCTGCCGCGTGCCACTACCATAAATAAATGAGGCGCATTTGTCGCAGCTAGTGAAACAAATGCTTCCGCTACTGAAATTTATTTAAATGTACTACAAAAAACTTACATAAATTACAACAAAAGAGAGACAGGAAATGGGCGTGTCATAAATGCAACAGCCAACAACAACTTAATTAAAACGCCGACGCGTGGCAAATCTTGAAACAAAAAAAACTAGACTAAGATCAGAGCATATCGAATCAGGTCACCCACACATCCATCAGACATTAATTATGGCTAATTGTTGGCGAAATGTAAACAATCAATTGGTGGAGCAAAAAATGTTTAAATTTATTGTGCGATGCTCTGTAAACAATATAAAGATAGAGAAAAAAACGTTGGCAGTATGAAAAGAATAACTCACCAATTTAAATAGATTTTGCCGTAATTAAAGGGCATCAGCAAGATGCAAGTTATGCGAATAGTTCCACTTTTTGTATACGAATCTCAACTTGTTAGCTAACTATTTGCACAATTGATACCCCAGTGGCAGCTGTTGCTTATGCAATCGATTTAAACAACACGTATTTTGAGCAATTACATAGATATGAGTTTAATAAGTATACAAAAAGACACTTCACAGTTGTTAAACATAGCTTAGCTTCTCTGACGAATACACAAGATCTCGAATAATTTCAGTAACAAACACATTTTGTACCCTGCATTACATTAAATATATAGAGGCATTGTTATAAATGCTAGATATAAATATACTATAGTGTGGGAACAATAACAATAAGAGCTATTCTGTTTGGTGGTGTGTGGGGAATTGTATTGCACTAGTAGTCTACAGCTACTACTAGTGATCTCTACTAGCTGATACGGTGGAGCACATTTCACTTTTCGGGCGTATAGTACATGGAGTGTATATAGAGTCGGGTCACCTCGCCAATAACTGATCGATCGGGTATGCTCTGTGCCATGCCATAGAGAGCAAATTTGCCAACCACCGGCTGTCCGGGATCCTTCATTATCTCCGCCGTGCAGGTGCGCAGATCGGCCACAAACTTATCCGCAACGCCAGGCTTGGTGTGCATATCCGTAATGCAGATGTGGATGCTAGAAAGGAGATGCATTTAATACAAATTTCACATATATATATAGATCATACTTACCCAGAGGGAAATTGCAGGGGGTTTAGATTCCAGCCAAGTTTGCACAGTGCATCGGAAAGTCGGAAAATGTCAAAAACATTGGATCCCATGGCTATGACCGACGTAGCCGGCTTGCCAAAGATAAAAATGCCATCGATTTGACGTACACTGCAAGAAAAGCAAGCAATTCAGTAATGGCCATATGGCATAGACTTACAGTGTATTTACCCTCGCTCAATATAACGAGCCGTGTCGACAATGCGTTTGGTCGCCTCCAGATAGCCCTCGTAGCCGAAACTCATCATTGTGGCCCAGCAGGCGGCAATGATGCCGCCAGCACGCGAACCGTTCACCGTTGGTGAGCCATAGACGCCACCGGGCCAATCGGTTGTGACCGTAAACTGATGATCCTTGAACTTCTTGTGCGAATACATGATGACCGATGAGCCTTTCGGCGCAAAGCCATATTTATGCGTATCGGCCGAGATGCTCGTCACACCCTTGACCGCAAAATCGAAGTTGCGCAACTGGTAGCCAGCATGACGCACCAGAGCAACCACAAAGCTGCCCAGACAAGCATCCACATGCACAGGGATATCATATTTAACGCCCAACGCCGCAATAGATTCAATATCATCAATCGTGCCATATGGAAAATTGGGCGCAGAACCAACCAACTGCAAAAATACAAAATACCCATTAACAACTTGCCTAGTTTATAAAGAAAAAGCTGTCGTGCTACTTACCAGAATAGTATTAGAATTGATGGCACGCTTGAACTTCTTGATGTCCACTTCGTAGGTGTCCGGATCGACATCCACGTAGCGCACATGAATATTGAAGTACTGTCCGCCCTTGTCGAAGGCAGCGTGCACTGTGCGTGGTACCACAATGTTGGGCTTGGTGATGCCTTTGTGCTCGCGGGCATAGTCGCGATATGCCTTCATGGCCATGCAGATGGACTCGGTGCCGCCGGTTGTCATTGTTCCGCAACTGGAGCTGTTGCCATTGAAGAGGGTGCAAGCCATGCGCACCACTTCTGCCTCCATTTTGCACACACCCGGAAAGAGATCGGAATGGAGCGGATTCGTGTAGGATGCCTTGCCATAGACCTCAGTGACCAGCTGCACCAGCTCCGGATTGTAGCCGTAGACAGCGCCCGAGACGCGTCCATCGCGCCAATCGTAATGTCCTGTCTTCAGATGATCATCGACCAGGCCAAGAATCTGCTCCTTGCTCAAACCCTTCTCGGGCAGACGTGTCGTGTACGTCAAGTGCTGATTGCTCTTCTGAATTTCCGTCTCAAAATCGTTTTTGGCCTTACTCAGCTCCTTCTCCACTTCACGGCGAACAGCGGGTATCTTCTTGGCCAACCTGAAGAACTGACGCTTGCCCCGCACATACAGACCTCAAATAGAAACACATACGTTCAACATTAAACTACATTGATAACTTAAGCTCAATTTGCCCTGCTTATCAGCTGAGTGAATGATTGATAAGCAAACACCTATCAAAAGTTTACAACAATAAAAAAAGAAAAAACATTTGTTATACACGCGAGAACCGGTAGCCAAATAGCAATTGCAATAGCAATCAATCTCCAAGAGGCCAACCTACATTCAAAATCTAAAATTAATGGTTGCAATAAAACAGCCACTGCTATTGTATAACTAAAATGGACAAGGAATATATATATTTTATCGGGTTGAAAATGGCACTCTCTGTAGACATATAATTAGCCATGCCAAACTTTTATCAAAAAAATGGTGCCACCTGTATAGAACTGATACTGATAAAATAAATTCGAGACTTTTAATATCTTGACTAGATTAGGCAAGTAGTAACAATTTGGAAATATTATGTGAGCATAGAAATAAAAGATTGTACTTTATGACCAGTTAGAAATACAATTTCGACATTTAGACGTAACGCTATCGGATCGCATATGAACTATGCTCCAGAACTTCCGTTTGGAGCGCTTGAGACTATTTTAAAACCACCTCAAGTGTGCTTGGACAAGTTTAATCTATGCATAATCTGTTTGATTGATTAAATTATAAAGATCAAAATGTGTATCACGTGTAAATTCCACTGAAGTTCAAAGTACATGGGGAATATTTTCGAAATATATACAAATAGAATTCATGTTTGTACATTTGCTGCTACAAGCGTTCGCGATAATATATTTATTGGAAAAAAAATAATAATAAAATGCTTACTTTCATCTTTTGTGAGTTCGGTCCAGATCCAAACGGTGCCCAGGACTGTTGTTGCCGTTATGGCTGCCACCTGCCAGGGCTCCTTGTTGCCAAAGGCACGATTGATGCAGCCACCGACGGGCTTCATGCAGTCGCTACCAGAAAATGGACGCATTATGGCCGCCAACTGAAATTACGAGCCGATTTAATAATATATTTATTTATATTCGAGGAGTGTTTGGAAACACCGTCGCACTCGAGCGCTGCCAGCCGATTACTAAACTAAATGTCAACTGAACAGTTGCCTGATAATCGCGTACAAAATGCTCCGTTAGCTGATAACGCATATATTGTGTGTTGATATACATTAGATTACTACTTATGGCGTAGTGTGTCTGTCTGTTGTGAGCCAAGACAACAATAACCATTAATATTGCAATAAAAGCTGAGTTCAAAATATACACGTCTTGGGGTTCGGGCAGTTCACTCACCTGTTATTGTTCTGGCGAGTAATTAAGAACGTTAAGGTGAAGTGCAATTTTCTCGAGGTTGACGGCATCTGCTTGTTTTACCGTGTGAAATTTCACTAAACAAATGAGAGCGCTCAGCGCACAGCTGTTGCGCTTGCAGCGATAGCAAGCAAAAAACATATCGATAGCATTGCGAATGGCAATCTAGCAAGAGGAAGCTATTGAGCGGCGCATATTTAAATGTTATCGATAGTAACACATACCTTAACTGAGTTATCGATCCTGATAACATTAAATTAATTGTTTTTTTTTTATTTTGATAACGTAACTAACAAATTTTATTTAAATTTTATATAATATGCTGCTTAAGCTGCCAAAATCGTTTAAATTGGTAATTATTATGCAACTTACATTTACTTTAATTCAATTAGTAATTGCTATATTTAGTACACTCGTCTAGTGCCCATACGCTTTGCCAGCAAAGTAAGTGCCAATGATTTTATAAAGGTGAGCTTAAATAAATGTATTTATATTTTGTTGCATTTAGTTAACGAGTATCTACGAAGGTAAAAAATGATCGTGGAGTGCGGGAAATAACATTGTGTCATCCGAGCACCCGGAATTCACTGTCGATGGACATGATGTGCGTGTTGCACGAGGCTCTCGTCGAGGATAGCAGGAATGTGGAACTGCGCTGCGTTATCCTCACAGCTGAGGGGAAAATCTGGTCAGCCGGCCACAATCTGAAGGAACTGCAACCCGACGATTTGGAGTTTCGCGATACTGTTTTCCAAAAGCTAACCGACATTGTGCTGGACATAAGAAAGTTGCCGGTGCCGGTGATTGCCAAAGTTAATGGATATGCTGCAGCTGCCGGCTGCCAACTGGCTGCATCCTGTGACATTATTGTCGCATCCGACAAGAGCATGTTCTCCACACCCGGGTAAACAGCTGCACCTAAATCAATATTTTGCCGTTTAACGTATACTTTGTTTTTAGTGCTGGAGTTGGAGTATTCTGCAATACGCCTGGAGTCGCCGTTGGTCGCGTTATGTCGCGTCCCAAGTCTGCGTATATGCTAATGACAGGTCTGCCCTTGAGCAGCCAGGAGGCCTACGTTGCCGGTCTGGTCAGCAAAGTAGTGCCCGAATCGGAGCTGGATAAAACGATTGAGGAAATCGTTTGCGCCATAAGATCAAAGAGCCGTGCAGTCCTTGGACTGGGCAAGGAATTTTACTATGAACAACTGAATCTGCCGCTCGAGGATGCCTATGCAAAGGCAAAGGCAAAAATGAATGAAAATCTTCAATTGGCCGACTGCAAGGAGGGCATGCAGAGCTTCATTGAGAAGCGGGCACCCAACTGGAAGCACACCTAACCATTTGTTATAGACTCAAACTTTGCATTTATAAAGAAATATATTTTAAACACTTGATTCATTTGCATTCGTATATGTTCACAAGTCATTTTATTAGTAACTGATTATATATTTGTATCTCTGATTTCCAATATAATTTAGTCAATTTCCAATTCAACTTCTCCCTAAAAATAAATATCTCAATTCTCAGCTAAATTCAAATAGATTTCGCTTGTTAATTCGTTTAGAGTATTTCCCTCAAAGTTCCAAATAAAACCAATTTTCGTGCTTTCGAAAAGTATGCTCAATTCTTATTTTGTGTGTAGTTTATTCAAAATGTGTGTGTTTTTTAATATTGTGCAAATATTTAAAAATACAATTACAATGCTTGACGCGAATAATTATTAAAAAAAAAAAAATGATAAAGTTTATATATGTTGGCAGTTATTTGTCTGTTTGGAGTTTGGAATTTATTGTTTTTTTGTTTTTTCTTTTTCATTATCTCTCTGTTCCAATACATAAATTTTGAGGATATGTTTTGTGAGTCTTTTTGCAGGATATTAAATTGTATTTTTATTATTTTCAAATGGTTGGACGTAGAAAATTCTTGAGGCTGGACGAATGTGTGCCGAAATCAAAAAAGAATAATAAAAATAAAAAATAATAAAAGAAATGAAAATATTTGCATCGTTGTTGCTGTTTTTTGTTGGTGTTTGTGTTGTGGTTTTTTGCATTTAAATATTTAAAACTCTTCGCATTGAACTAAAGATAGTAGAATAAAAATCTTATAGGATGTGGAACATACATATTTATGCATATATATATTTGTATATATATGCATTAATATACGTATAGATAGATATATAGTTTATACAGTAAGTGTTTAGCATATACATATGTACTAGGAGTAAGTTTACTAAAAATAGAGCAATATTTTATAACTGTGCAATAGTATTTGTTTAAAAAATTATTTTTTTTTCGTTTTTTTGTAGTTTCTTTTTCATAGTTGCAAACTTTAAAATTGTTACTTTAAAGCTAGAGAAAATAGATCCATTTTCGAGGCAATGCAAAGAGAATTATGCCAAAAAGAATTAATTAAGTGACGTGTGCTAAAAGACTACGCATAAATATATTGAAAGAAAAGATTCCCGTGCGTGTTTAAAGACCCTCTCCCAAAAATTAGAATCCCAATCGGAAAAGGGTATATAAAATGTTTGTGTATGTTTGTGTATAAAAAATAATAATAAGAAAACAAATAGAAATAATAATAAGAGTAATAAATGTGTGCCGTGTTCCGTGCTATTGTTGTTAGTGGTTGTTGTTGCTGTTGTTTTTTATTGTGCAATGATTCTCCCTCCGCACTTTCTGCCGGTTTGCTGATGTTTCTTGATTTGATTTGTGAGTGAGAAGCTTCGACCGGCTTAGACCTCGGTGACGGGACGTTTCTCGATCCAGGCCTTGATGGGCTCCAAGGCATTGATGGCATCGACGACGCCGCGCAGTGCCGGATATGGCTCCAGCAGATCACGCTTGACCATGTAGTTCATGTAGTCGGTGATGCCGGCAAAGTAAACATCGGCCCAGGTCAGCTGAAGTATTATACAAAAACGAAAAGGATTTGAATATGAATTGAATTTTGAACAGTTGGCCATTTAAGGGCGTAAGGACGTACCTTGCCCAGAGCCAAATGACCATCGTTATCCTTGACGGTCTGCTCCAGTTTCTCCAGATAGAATGGAATGACCTCGGCATTTAGGGTGACCAGCTTCTTCTCCTTGATCTCATCCTCGGGCTCATACGAGACGACTGCAATTTCTATACATTAAAAATTCCCGAGTTAATCAAGGACACTGAACATGAAAACTGAAGCACACATTGTTCGCTACTTAGACGGAAGTCATTGATGGTATCAACAACAATATCAATCTGCAGATCCTCCCACGGCGTTGCGCCGCACAAACCGACAGTCTTGGCCAGGAAACGGGCCATCGAGATGCTCTGATGCACACGCTTGCCATCCACCTCCAGCACCGGCATCTGACCCATGGGCATGGCTAATCAAAGTAGTCCTCTCACATTTTAGTTACCGCTCATCATGGCACAAGAACGGGGACAACGGTGACAACGGGGACAACGTTCAACTTACTTGGCTTCAAGGCGGGCCACTCGTCGCGGGTGACGCGGACATCCTCGTACTCGATGGCGCCATAGGCGAACAGGTAGCGCAACGGTTCGGCGAGTGCCTTCACATTGAAATAGAACAGGGTATAGCTGTGCTTGATTGGCTCGGTGGGTTCGGCGGGTGCAGCCTCGCCCTCGCCCTCGGCGGGTGGTGCTGCCTCGCCCTCGGCTGGTGGTGCGCCCTCAGCTGGTGGTGCTTGTGCTTCGTCGGCCATTTCTGCGTTTACTCAATGCAAAATTCCCTGCAACAAAACTGTTGAGTATCAATTTCAATTTATATATATTCAATAACGCCTACGATTCAATTTCAATTTCTTATCGTTCACGACTCTCACAACTGACACAGCCCAGTTTAATCAGTTGATTGTTTGTTTGTTTTTTTACTCAATACGTGGCGAAACTCTCAGATAGCAAAACAGCAACTGTGGCTGTAAACGGCTAAGTAAATTGTTTATTTTCTCTCATAACTATGATTTAGAGATTATTGCTGATATGAAAAATAGTTTATAGTCATTCCGATAAGATAAACTAATCATAAGCGTTGAAAACGAAAACATTCTTTTATTTCACCAAAGTATTTCGAGTACAGCTATCGCTTTTGATATATCTATAAGGCAAAAATTGATATTAGCAGGGTAATCTACTAATCACATCAATTGTTTCTATAGTTTTATATATTCTCATACTTTTCTATATCTGTGTTCAGTTGCAGCTGTCTTTATACTTTATAGTTGCGAACTTCTTGTCTGCTTTGCTTCTATTACACAATTTAACCTTCGTTGATCTATAATTAAGCCTTATAAACCATTTCTTTCTGCGTACACTCGAGTTGTCCATATTTGTCGTCAAATTGTTGAACATTCCGCCAGGCAATAAATCAAAAGCTGACAACAAAATCATTACCATATAATTGCAATATATATATATTTATTTATATATATATATGTATCATATGCAATATATAAGGTATATAAATGTTTCTTATGGAGTGCAAAAGCGGAAATGCATTGATTATGCCAGAGACACAGACTCGACAATGAGTGAGACGAAGGGGACGGGGAAGGAGGAGGAGGAGGAGGCGCACAGACAGACTGAGACTCAGACTGAGACTGAGACTCTGACTGAGATCCACACCCACATGAAATTCGCATTGAACAACGGAGTCTCTGTCGGATTGTCTGTGGATCAGTTGGGTTCTGGTTGCACGTCAAGAACTGTTTGTTGCTGGGGCGTTGGCGTTGGTGCTACGCCCCTATTTCCATTGTTTATTTATATATATATATATATTTATATATTTATTTTCTTTTTAATATTAACTGCTGTGGCAGGAAGTGACGCGAAGCCCTTCGTGTGTACCTCGGTTGGGTGCAGAGCTCCGAATACGCTTATAATCATTGTCTTTGAAGCCCTGCCACATTTGGCAGTTTGCCCATTCAGTCAGTCAGTCAGTCGCCTGCCCCTCCCCCAGCCGGCTCTAAGTAATGCCCCATTGGTTGCCTCTTCCGCTGCAATTTCGTGTCTCAAATTGCAACAATCGATTTGTCGACTCTTTCTCTCTCCCTCTCTCTCTCGTTCTTTCTCTATCTCTGTCGCTCGTTTACGTTCTATCTGCGTTGCACGAACTTGTTGCTGTGGGTGCCTCAATTGAATTTAATTTGGCATGATCCATTGCTGGGCAAGAGGGGAGGGTTGGAGGGGGAGGTGGGTGTATTTTAGTGTCATGATTTAATTAAATTTCGATTTTAAATTTGCTCGCCTGTGTGCTATTTTAGTGCTTTGATGTTTTGCCCCATTGCCTTGTCTCCCGCCGAGCCACTTAATTGTGTGAAATCGATTTTCGTTTCCTTCGAAATGTCAAGTAAAAATGTTGGTGGGGGGAGGGGCGGGGTGGCTAGTTCAAAATGGAGTCCGGAAAATAATGAAACTAGCATTTCATTTGTGAATATAAATTGTAGTTTTAGAGCGTTATCTTTCCCATATATACATATATTTTTACCGATTTAATAATATCCAGTTACTCAAATCACTACAATAATATTCCATCAATTATCTGGCAAGCTAAAGTTTTCGTTCCTAATAAGAATCTAAGGTTATTTTTTCATTTTTCCGACATTATTAAAACTATTAATCTATCAATTTTAAGCTGTCCTGTCAGTTTTTAATAGATAGCCATTAAAAACTGTTAGGCAAAAAGTGAAATGCTTCACGGGGAGTCTCATTTACTATATTTATTATACTATATTTTATATTTAAATAGGTCAGGGACCTTAAACTACGTCAGAAAGTAAGCACAAGTTGAATTCAGGAATCCTCAGTGCTCAGATGTTAAAGTAAAAAATATTCGAGGTGAGTAGAAGGCTAACACTGATTACAATTGGACTGATAGATAGTAAGTTCTCCAGACGAAATTCTTATCAATGACATTTACAAGTGCCGCACACTGAGAATTCAATTGGCTGAGCGAGTATTGAGTATTTCTTTTTGTCCATTATCAAAATTAAGTAGATTAGTAGATAGCTATTGTCTGCGGTTATATAAGCTCGGGCGATCATTTTGAATTGAATTCGGAATTTTTTAAATTGCACTCGTTTTTTTATTTTTATTTTTTTTCTGTGTGTGTGTGTGAAAATTGTTCCGTTAGTGAAATAAGCAAGTACCTCACGGTTCGAAATTCGGACGCGCACTCCACGTTTGAAAATGAATTTGGATTTCGAGTTTACTATTTTCTAATGCGATTCGTCGAACGTCGTTGTCCTTCACATATTTGCGTGCGAATGATTCGAGTCGTAGGCAAGAACTGCGAATGCCCGAAACGAGTTCAAAACTTTTCGATCTCGAATCGATTGACCCACAAATCAGTTAAGAAGACAGTTCCAAATTTAGACACGATATACCCGAAATACGAAGTTGCAGACGAACGAAGACGGACGACGGACGACGGACAACGGACGACGAACGACAATGTTAAGCACTCGGCTTTCGATAATTGGTTTTAAATTTTTTTTCTTTCTTGCGCCTTCTTCTTCTTTGATTGGCAAAAGACACCTTTCAGCAAATTTAGTTAATTACATCACTGCGGTAATCACTCACTAATATAGTATTTGTTATACTATATGCTTTCAATTTCACATTTGCGTATGGTTGTTGTTGTCCTTTCTGGTTGTGCCTTACCTCAATGAATTTTTCGAAAAATTCAGCTCCAGTTGCGCTTCCTAATTGGACAATTATACTTTTGGAGATTGGCTTTGCTCACGTGGGCTTTTCAGCACTGCGTCTGGTCACACAGCAAAACACACTCAGGAGAAAATGAGATGAACCTGAACCGATCGCAGCAACAGAATCAACTGCAACAGCAATGAACACCGACTATTGTTGGAGAAGTTGAGCGCCGGCTTTTATACGTTCCAATAGTGAAAAAAGGCGGCGCCACTCCCACGTCGATTTGCTCGTGAGTACAGCGAAAGCGGCGTGCGCAAAGAGAGCTTTTCACTGTCTGAGAGAGCGAGTGGATCGCTTTGGATTCATTTTTGTGCTGCACTCTCTCAAAATGCGTGTTGCGTGCTGTTACCGAGTTGAGGTACGTTCAACAATTTGAAGTTAAGAATATTATTATAAAATAATTTATGAAATGTATGTTTAATTTATTTAATGCAACAACAAACAAGTAGAATTGCATGTGATTATAATTAGTTTTTGCCTAGCAACTGCTTAAAATGGCGCTCTCTCTTCCTTGCTCTCTGAGCGGTGAATGCCGCTTAGTGAATAGAGAGCGGGAAAGAAAGAGAGAGCAGCTAAGCCGGCTGCCGGCCGGTTTAATGCCGCCTTAGGTATATGTGTACGTGTGTGTGTATGTGTGAGTGAGAGAAATTGCATTTGAAATGTGTGCGAGCTGTGGGCGTTTGGACATTTGCTCTCTCGCTCAATGCCTTACAAAGGAATTTTTCACTTATGAATTCAATTAAATGCCGCAAATATTTTAATATTCTTATTCTCCACATGGCTATTGTGTGCAGTTTTGCCTAATTGGGCATTTACATTTCGCAGTTCGTAATTTATTCGTTTTCGCTCACAATTTCTTTTTATTTGCATTCCACGCTTGTCTTTTTGCTTAAGCGTAAACTTATATTTATTGTTCATGTGTTTGGGGCTCATTTTTTTCATATTCTTAGCTAAATATTTGGCGAGCTTTCAATTATGAACCAATTACGGCACACTGATTCAATATTTATCGTTGCTCTTAGTTGGAGTAGCTTATTTGACTCTTTAATGATAGTTTAAACAAAAACTAAGTGAGGCACTATTTGTAATAATGGTTCCTGGTTCGTTTCTAATAATAGCGGAAGCTAAGCGATTGTTAACTCTACAAATAAGCTAAGCTTTTTTTCTCAACACCCACGAATTTTTTCTTTTTTTTTCAAAACGTTTCTTATCTTAATAGCATCAGATATGTGGCAATTTTAAGCTGCCTGCAGGATTTGTTTTTTTTTTTCATTTCCGCTAGAAATGTGTCTTTGTCATCGATTTTAACAGCAAAGCAGGAGGGAAATGTTATTGTAACGCCAACATGATCCCCCGATTCATTTATTTGTCAAATGTTTACGGCCATCGGCGCCAGGCATTGAAATCTGAACGAATTTCCAGCCTGTTTATGCTTACGAGCGCAAACAAAAAGCAACTGGTTCTGTGCAGTTGCAAAGTGAGTGAGTGTGTGTGAGTGAATGAGAGTGAGTTAGTACGGAAAACATCTTTCAAGAGAACCCAAAAGCTTTTCAATTTAAATGCCTGGTACAAAATGGCTCAAAAGAGAATTTCTTTGTCTTAACCGTTTTCCTTAAAATCAAATTTAGCAGCTTGTACTGCTTGCATTTTGCACTGCTTGCTCTGCACTTAACGAGCTTTCGTGCCCAATTGAAAGCTCAGCGATAGCAAATCAACTTGCTTAAGTACTTGCTCAAAAGCTTATTGCTACATCACTTGAGCATTATTTTAAACTGAGGCGGCAAATTAAACAAATTTTTAAGATTGTAAAAAATCAAACCATAAAAAGCCACTTGAAACTGAAGACTTGGTAATTGGCTAAAATATTGATTAAAACTGTAAATTTCATCAGCTACCCAGTGAATCCCCCTGCAATGAATTGCAAATCGTTATTTACGTTTACTTTGTTGACCAACTTGATAAGCGTTCGAAAATTCGCTAAGATAAGCTGAAAATATGGCCAAGTGGCCTCAATGAGATAAATGTTGGTAGCAATCGAATTGCACAAAAGAAAAACATGCTTGATAAGTCACAGCTTTTGAGCTAATGAGAAGTTTTTTTTCTGTTGGAAATTTGTTGTTTTCACTTTAATATTAGAGGAAATAATTGCTTAACTCTGAGAATTGTCGCAACGACAACAATTTTAGCTGGTTGAAATCAACTAGCCTGTCTTTGTCTGCCATTGTATTTGTCGGCCTAGACTAATTAAGAATTTATGCCGCCTGCTTGCACCTGTGTCTGTGTATGTAAATAAAGAGCGAAATAATAAAACTGCAACAAAAAGAATTATGACAATAATTTGCTGTATAAAATGCGGCGAACTCACACACACACACACAATATCAGGCGAACTCACACACGCGACAGCTGTTAAACTGTGTGAGTGTGTGCAATCTAAATAATAAAGATAAAAGAACAACAAAAAATTATAACTGAAGTGCCAACAACACAAACAACACCAACGAAAGCAAACAGTTAGCAGTCAACAACACCAACAACAACAGCAATGACGCGAGCGTGTGACAAAGACGGAGACGGAGAAACAGACTCTGCATTGTACAGTGGCATATATCCGTTGTTTTGCACGTGACAAACTTGTCTAATCAAATATAAAATGATTGACTTACACAATAGTTGTAATTGATTTATTAATCACATATTTAAATAGTTAAGTATTTACACTATATGTATTTCAATTCCAAAAAGAAGTGTATCAGCTTCAATAAAGCATAATGCATCCGTTGTCATAATTTCATTTCGCACCATACGATTTTGGCCCACTGTCACGTGAGAGTGCGAGCCGAGTGCGCACTTGCTGCAATGCGCGAATTCCGGATCAGTGCCAATTCAAATGCGCAGGTGAGCTGAACGTTTTCATTGCCGTCGTCCGGTTCGTTCACTTTTCGTTCGCATCGTGTCGACTTCGTCACTTCGTCGTATCTGCGCAGAACAGTTAACTACAACGACACTTGACTTTGTGTGTCTACATGCGTGTTTGTGTGTGAGTGTGTGTTTGTGTGCGTGTGCGTGGGCATATTGCGTATACGCCACGAGCGCTGTTGGTAGTTGTAGAACTTTAAACTGATTTTGTACACTTATTAAAATTAGTCGTAATTGTTGCAATTCTCATTGAAAGCGTGACCTTTATTTGGTTTACGTTTCATTTCGTGCCCGCTAAGCAATGTAAGTGACAAAAATGAACATAATATACAAGTATTTATAAAACCCAAAAATAAAACTGAAACGACAGCACTAAACTAAATAAAAGCATATGAAACGAAAACGAACTCAGAAAGAAATCCAGCTAATTGTTTAATTAACACGTGCACGCCACTTACAAAAGCAAAAAGAAATATATAAATTATTATGACAAATAATAACAAAAATTTAAAAATAAAATGATTTTACATAGCACTTTTGTCTTACTTTTGTCGTCATGTCTGTGTTTGTTTTGTGTGAGTTTTAAATGGGGTTTTTTGTTCTTTTTTATCGCTACATTTATTTACTATTTATTCACATTTTAGTAGCGGACTTAACGCATTTTTGTATGGCTAACCTTACCAAATGGTATCAGTTGCGGCTTGTGTCAGTTCGAGTGTATTTGTTTTACTTTTTTATTATATTTTTTGCTCGTTATTTACTTTACTTATCGGCTGAATGAGAGATACATACAGAAAGACAGTAACAAACAAAAAGCAACAAATTAATGTGGAAAAATACAGTGAATTGGCGTTATTTGAATGATGGGAAACAACTGCGCCAAGCTTGTTTCACTGGAATTTTATAATTATATGTTATTAGTCTTTCGATTCCGAATATCCAGATACTTCACAAATTCATCTTGGTTTATGTTTATAATAATAATAAAAATTCACTTTGAATTATAACGATCAGTAAGCATCATTATTTATTATTTATGACAGCTATATAATCATTTCATTTCTTACTTGGAAATTATTTTATTATTATATTTCATTCGAATAATGTCAAGAATGAAAATTGTGTACGGCACACAAAAAACTCCCTAACTTATCTGCAAATAATACAATCATATCTGTCATTTACTTTTATGATTATGGCAGTTTATTTTTGTGCCGGAAATTCCTGGAAGCAGCTTAAACAACCAATCGAGCGATTAGAGAAAGAGATAGCAAAAATGTCTCCATAGTAAAACATTTTGTGTTTGAACATGTTGCATGCGCTTTTAAGCAACTAATGCTCGTCATAACCAGTTTTTGAAGCCAAAAGTCAGACCGTAATTGACTCTATCGGTCTAAAAATAGCTATTCAGTTAATCTAATGGAGCGACAAATAGAATCATTGCCAAGGTTAAAACTAAAGCTGTTCCGCTTTGTTTTACCTTATCACCATCTATTGTAGACTGAGCGCATTTTTGTTGTTGTTGTTGTTGTAAAGAATATGAATCATAGCTTGTAAAATAAACAATTGAATTGAATTTTAGTTGTGGAAAACTGCAACTCAGCAAATGCAAAGTGGCAACAGCGCACATCACAAACAAAATAATTCACTAATCCATGATTAAAATATAGATTAAAGAATTTGTTGCTCAAGCTGCGGGGACTTTTTTGTGATTGTGAATTGTATTTTTCTTTGGGAATAACCCATTATCATTAATGAAAGCCAATGCGATGAGTTTTCATTGTGATTCACCTGTGATATCAATTTTACCGACTTACACCAAATAAAACAACAATTTTGGACATTTGCACCCAGAATTTATTCAACGATTTTACTTTGAACAGTTTGCACGCGAGCCTCAACGCAATTGGCAAATTTCAAATAGTTGCTATTGAAAATGGTATCAAAAATGGTCTCAAGTAATTAAGACACAATTTCTTATCGCCCGCATTGCAAGATAAGATAGCTGGGTCCGTCCTCTCCACGATTATGAGTGGCAACCTTTTGGCCCAGCAAATGAAGTCAAGAGCAGGCTTGTTACGTCTGTCTAGCCTCTCTCTCTATTATTGTGACAAGTTATCTAACTGGGTCAATAAATCCACCTGCTCTGCGTAATTATGATGGTAGCTATTTATTCACATGAATCAAAGTAAACTCTGAATGTTCTATTTATCTGTCAATTTATGGCACAACAATGGGCTAGTCAAGAGTTGCAGGCGTTTGCTGGATACGAACCGGATTCCAAGCAGCTGTAAAAATATGAGTGGAAATGAATATGAAATGAAATAAATGTGAAACAAATGAACCTTTGCTGAAATAAGTCTCTCAAAAATCAGTTATAAATCCAAATTGGTCCACAACTTGCTCACTGCCATTCTTCTGTCGAAACTGTGACGATTTTTAAGTTGTAGTCTGGCATCAAGCTGAACTCTGATTGTCGAAATATGTTTTTTTTTTTGTTGAAATTCATATTGTATATTATTGGGCACTCAATGGCCAACAGCTTCCAATACCAGTGGAGTTTATTTAAATTTTTTTGCATGACCTTATTTAGTATAAGAATCGCATTAAGTCCTCCGAGGCCAGGAGGCATCGTTAGTGCTCTTGTCGCTGTCTAGGCCACAACAGGAGCAAATGTCCAAGTCCTAGTCCAATAATTGCCGTTCCTGGTCACATATCTTTCCCAAATCGCTGCTGCCCGAGCACGAGGAATTGCTGGTGGTTCGCCCCTGCGATTTGCCGTCCTTTAAAGGATCGCTGACGGCCTTGCTATGAAGCGCTTTGCCTTGGTTACATGACGCAGCTGGCATCTTCATTTTCAGCTTGTAAATTTGCCCCTGGCGGTCCACAAAGCCAAGCCGTACACTCGCCTCCAATCCGCGCTCAACCTCCTTTTGCAGCTGGGCCAGCTCGTTGAAGCGTATATTTTGCTGCTCGGCCACCTGGATGATAATTTCCTCCTTGATGGCGGGACCGCCAAGCGAGACAAAGGCACCATATATATTCAACGGCTTCATCACTACAATTTTCAATTACTGCCAATTTGTGGCTAGTTCAAGTAGATTTTATATGAACAAATGTGTAATACTGATGGAATTGTTGTTGAATTTGCCTGAAATTCCCAGTACCGGTCGAAACGTCACATATAATTAACTTCACCTGATCGTGTATGACTGTATAGATACATATATATATATATATATATATATATGTGTGTGTGTGTGTGTGTGTGACTCTCCTCTGACAATGTATACAAAACTAACAACGCTTTTGTTTTGAACCCCTGATCGCTTGACGTCATTCGTAGTATAAATAAAAATTGTATTTAAATGTTACTAGTTCTGAACTCATACACACACAGTTCTCCTCAAATATTTGTGCGAATATTAAACTAATTTAATTAGTTAAGCACCAAACAAAAAAACACTCGGAATTCTAAAAAGAGAAATAGTTGGCTCCGTCTGAACTAACAAGTCTCTCGTGCGCACAGCATGGGTTTTTTCTGGGATTTAACTACTTAAAAATATATTTATCAACAACGATAAAAGTCGTTATATGAAAAATTTGATTGCCTAATCGGAGAGAAGTGCGAATTTATCAAATAAATGCTATCTTTAACTTGTGTAAATGTTTTAGTTTAAATGTTTTTTTTACTCAAATCGAAAATTCTTCAGAGTTTATTTACGCTTAATTACTTTAAGTGTATACAAATGCTGTGTGTATATTTTTAAAATATATATTTTTATTTTTTATTTATTTTCTATAATCAGAAATATTTTGCTTAAATTCGTATTTTGCAGAGCCCAAAAAGACAAACAACAAAAAAGCTGAGCAACTGCTGGCGACAAAATACACGAGATTCGAATACGTGTTTCCCTCCGAAGACAACACAACACATGCCATAAAGAATTCTATATACAAATTAACATATAATTTCTTGGATATACAAAAAGAATTAAAATTAAATTTGTAGCTGGGAGTGGAACGATTGGCATTGAAAGGCTTGTGCAATTTGCTGTAAGCGAAATGCCACAGAAATAATAACAAATACATTATAAATTAAGCAACTCAAAGAGAAGCAGAGCGAGAGAGAGAGCCGTTGGAGAGTGTAAGTAAGATTGATAAGCGTTATCAGTCGCCAGCAGGCACGCCTACTCAAACAGTGAGCGGCGGCGACATGGCCGACGAAGATCTCAGCCCGTTGCCGTTTCGACGGGAGCGCAACTTGAGCAATCGCAATTTCAACAAGCGCAACTCGCGTCGTCGCAGCGGCCAATCGGCGACGGATGTGGAGCGTCACAGTAGTGCCGTGGACGTGGAGTACGGCGGACAGCGACGCGACAGCACAGCGAGCAGCAGTTCCAGTTCCTTTCAACTTTCGTACTCGGTGAATTCGGATACGGAAAGTGCGTTCAATCGCCGATCCATGCTCAAAATGCGTGCGGCCAGTGAAGAGACGGCGCCGGTGGAATCGTCGACACCACAAACATCGGAAATCCCGGAACGGCCCACGACGTTAACTGGCGCGGATCCAGCACTGCTCGATGTACGCCAAAAGGTGCAACGCTTCGAGACGCTCAAGTCGACCATTAGCTATTTGCGACAGGAGCGTCTCAGTCTGAAGCTGCTCGAGAATCGCCGGCATCCGAGCTTTTCGCAGCACGATACAACAGTTCAATACTATACTCCACCCCCGCCACGTCGTGTTGCCCTGCCCGGCATGGGCTCCAACAGAAATTCCATATCCAGTGCACACATCAGCATCGATGAGGTGCGTTCCGAGGACGAAGTCGATCAGATATCCGACTTTGAAACAGATCCCCAAGATGCCGTCGAATATGTGCTCAGCGAGAGCCAATCTGCGGTGTTGGGCAACAGCTCCCCAGATCCCGATGAGCCGCAGGAACATGTTGTGCACCGATCGATAAGCGCGGATCCAGCGTGCAACAATACCTTGCCGCTCAAGCCGCGCAATGACAAGGATTTCCCAAGGTGAGTACGAAAATGGTGAAAGCTTCGAATATCAATTTCGATTTATGAAATTTTCAACACTGTTTTGCAATAGTTAGCTTATCCAAATGCGCCTTTTTCAATACTGTTTCCTGTTTGGGGTGTTGGACAGGTCGAGAATTCCACTCATTTTTGAGGGTTGCGCCATTTTACAACACTAGTTTGAGAACACTTAATTCGAACTTCATTTTTATTAAGTCATATTAAAAAGTTTTCAATTTGAACTTTGTTTCGCCACCGTTTTCCAACACAGTTTGTTCCCAAAATCGAGCTTTGCAATCAAAAATGTGTTTTCCATTTTAGTATTGTGCAAAGTCGAACATTTAATTAATTGACTTGACCAAATTTGTTGGTATTCATTGGAAATGCCGGCGCTGATCTTAATTGGCAAGTGTGTGACAAGGCTGGGAGTGTTAATTAGAGTTCGGGTCGGTATTTGGAACCGGTTGCGGCTTGGAGTCAACCGTCAAAATCAAATAAACAAACAGACACAACTAACACTCGATTATGAAATGTACCAAAATTTATAAAATATGAATCTGTGGAAATCAGTCGGTCACGTTAAAAAGAAGCTCCAGCTAAACAATGGAGGGCTCAGAACCCAACGATGGGCCAAGCGGCAGCAAGCGACAAGAACAGATGCAGATGGCCCCAATCAGGGAAATGAGAACACAAGAAACTCAAGCAGATCTCGGCCACCAAATGCCGAGGCACACAAAGAAAAGAGTCAGGATTCCGGAAGTGCTGCCCACGACAGAGTCGCAGGAGATATACCAGCCAGAATTGGTGTACACAGCACCAACCATCGAGGCAAGTATTCAAGAGAGATCACTTGGATCGATGACCGACAGCTTAAAGAAACAGAGCTCGGGCAGCGAAAGGGAAAGCGGCCTCGATGACAATCAAGCAGAAAGTCAAACACATCGCAGCTCTAGCGTCAGCTTTACCATGCATGATACGGAGGGTTTTATCCAGGGGGTGGGTACTCAATTGCCGTAGTCGTCGTCGGATCGATATTATTTCTTGCTAGCTTTCCAGCTGACTGGTTTCATAGTCACCGGTGTCTCCATGTTCCTGCTAATCATGATCTCCTGGCTCGCCATATCTCAGCTGCCATTTTTCCTCGAAGTCTTGACAGATTCAGCCGTTGCCCTGCATCGTACCTGTGGCAATTTCAATATGTTCCAAGGACATCATGACCCCGTCAAGCATATCAAAAGGGTAAGGCTTGCAGCCACAACTTAGACCTCAAGCAGAGTGTTTCCCAAATTTTGTCGAGCGATAAGTAACCCTCAATAATCCCACTTGCCTGACTCATACACCCCCACATACGCAATACATATAGAAGCAATCTGGTGTCTCTGTTGCTGTTGCCTTCGCGTCACCTTATCAGCAGGCAATTGGAGACGCCATGTGATTCACTCCGTGTAACTAGCCTTGCTGCGGTATTTTTTTTATCTCATTCGTTGTTGTTTTTCTTGTCGTTATCATAATAATGTTCATCGAGGCTAGACTAGTAGTCAGTGATAAGTGCTATAAAAAGCTTAACGTGTTTGACCGCTACAATAATTAATGATTTTATTTATGGTACACACAGAAATTATCGAACTACGCCGAGGAGGAAGACTGAAATCATTGGGACAACAAACCATGAACTGGTTGGCAAATTTCATTCAGTCTATCAGCCCAAAGAGGAGTAAGTATTTATATATATATATATATATCAAATATGAACAACTACTAAATATATATTCTTTTATCTTGCAGAGAGGATGAGACTGAGATCGAGCTAAGAGATAAGAGCGATAAGTGTGTTCATCCCATACTTGAGGAGCTGATCCACACCGAGGAGACCTATGTGAATAATCTGTTCACTGGCTTGGAGAACTATGGCAATATATTTCAGCGCAAGGATCTGCCACTGGGATTGCGTGGCAAGAAGTATGATCTCTTTGGGAATATTGAACAAATCGCCGAGTTCCATCGCGATGAGTTTCTACCCATGCTTCATCGGAATCGTCGTGATCTGAAACGTTTATTCGATGAGTTTCTACAGTTTTTGGATGTGAGTAGTGAATATATATATATATACATATATACATCTAGTTATTAATATATATTTTCACTTTGATCTTGCAGCATGACTGCTTCTATGGCTATGTGATCTTCACGATGAACAAACAGAAATCCTTAAAGCTGTGTGATCTCTATAAAAATTACTTTACAGTAAGTAAAGCTGGCAACTATCTGAGTTGTTCAACATAATTCCTGTATGAAAAACTCACCAGTTTCTTCTTTCTTCCATCTCTTCCGTAGAGCATTCGTTTGGAGCGCGATGATAAGCTGGGCATCAATAGCTTCTTGGTGCAGCCCATTCAGCGCATGGCGCGTTATCCACTGCTCCTTACCCAGTTCATCAATGTAAGTCGAGAGTTGTCTGCCCTTAAGCTATATCTATTAATTGATATCTTAAATTTTGCATTTTTGCAGACATTCTTCAAGAATCGCGACATTGTGATGAAGCCTCTGATTGAGTCCTGCTGCCGCCTGGAGAAGCGACTGCGCACTTTGCTGACCACCACCAACGAATCGGAGATCATCAACGATATTGTGGACTGCAATGAGGTGGGTTCTATTGCAAAAATATGACCAGAACGTAATTCAACTAACTTTGTTTCTTTTCTGCTTTGCAGTTCAATGTGTTTTATCAGGGCAAGTTCCGCAAGGTTAGCGAGTTTCAGGTGCTGGATCACAAGCTGAAGCGCACTTATCGTGCCAAAGTCTTTATATTTGACAAGTGCATCATCTATACGGAGATTAAGGGCAAAAGTTTGATATTCCATGGTCGCTATCCCTGCGAGCATATTGGCATCTCGGCCAAATCCAAATGCTTTACGCTCTACTATGAGCGTCGCAAGCAGCAGGAATGTGAATTCACAGCTGATCCGGCACAGATACAGCTCTGGCTGGATCTGATACGTGATATGATCAACAGTTTTGCCAATGAGGAGCGGCAAAAGCTGCAGGAGCGTTACTCCCGTGAAAATGATCACTTGCATCGCAAGGCGCCAAGCTTTTCGCTATATCGCGACTCGAATCGCTTCAGCTCGGACAGTGGCATTGGCAATATATGGATAATGCCCAAGCCGGAAGAGGACAGTTGCGGTGGTGGTGGTGTTGGTGGTGGTGGCAATCGGACCACTTGGTATGCTGCCACATAATCAGACAACACGGGAAGCACTTCCCTGACCGCTGTGTGGACCACAAAAAAAAACCAAATATGTCCATTTCCATGTCCTTGTTGACCTGTGGAACGCAACGCTGTACGTTGGGGGCATCAGTTTGGACCTGAAAAGCCTGTGCAATAAGCCAACTTAATATTGAATGTTCATAAATATTCTCGAGTTGATAGCTGGCTTCTTTTTATTATCAACTTAATTTGTATTAACTAATTTGATTTAAAGTCAAACAAAAAAAAAATCAATGAAACAATGTATAAAACAATTTAAGCCTAAAGCTGAACTACCAAATATTGTCAAATAAGTTAATTGTAATATTTAAATGCAATGTATTTTTGTTGTCACAATTAAAGCAAATTGTTGTTACTATTTTGTGTACCAAGGCGAGTTTATTTTGAAAGATTTAATTGCATTTTTTGAGCCATTTTATAGAATTTATCGGTCATTATTGTAGCCAACTATTTGGCATTGACTCCTGGGGATTTGTCGGACCATTTGTCATGACGAGATCAGCCATTGAAATGATTTTGTGAATTGGTTTCTGTTTGCTCTGCGAAGTCAAATTTTGTTGTGTTGGTTGTTGATTGATTGAGCTATTTAAAGCTATTTTTGTAGAGGCCGTATGAGTATCATTTAACCCTTTAGGGGTTTACTGCAACTGCATCTTAGATCGCAAATCAAACATCGCCATATCTATGTATAATCCATTTTCAATCTGGATCTGATTCTGGCGTCTTTTATGACCTGTCGACCATTTGAAAAGGCCAATTAGGAATTTAATCACACACAACAAGAACCTTGACTTACAACACAAATGTCACACATGAGTATCTAACTAATTGATGTGTAAAACATAAAAATCAATGCCTCCCTCAATAAAATATGCGATGCGAACACGTCAAAACAATCGCATTAAAAACAAAACCTAAAAAAATATATATATAAAAATTCGCACGCCACTGAAAAAACTGTGGGAGCCGCTCCACCCTCCATTAAATGGCCATCCATTGATGTGGCTAATAATATGAAACACACACAACAGCAGAGACAGAGAATAACTTGTTTGGCACCCGAACAACTTGTGACATCACTTTGAAAATGTATAAAAATAAAAAACGATAACACACACAGCATATAAATAAGTAAACATTGCTGGCTGCTTTTTAATTTATGCAATATGTTTGCAAACTGCTGTTCGCAGCGGGGCATGCAGCTCATCAATCGCTCCCGGCGAGGCACAATGCCAGTAATAATTGTCCAATTCGTGGTATTCTGGCGACTGTGTTCACCAATTGTTTTTAGCACACAGAAAATCAATTGCAAATAATATAAATGAAAAATAAAATGTGAACAATTGTTCGTATGCAAAATTTGCATTGCGCTGACGACGTTGACAGCGACAAATACAACAATAATAAAGTATTTATTTATATATATGTGTACACATTTGTATTTATATATTTATACAGAGGCTACAGAGTGATCTCTGTGAGATCATCGCCACAAATTTGTATACAGCCAAAGTGTAGCTAATATTTAAGTGCTCAGCTTTGTGAAAGCTCAGCTATTAAGTGAGGCATAACTAACTAACTAGTACAAGGGTTAATTACAATTTGATAGTGATGGCGGTCAAATGGCGAAGTAGTTTTTCTATTACAAGTAATCTGATAAATTTCTTAAAATAAATAGCAATGCATTAGCCGACTTTAACTGCCTTCTTTTGTTTTAACTTTAAACAAGTTGAAGGCAAACCGAAATAAAGTTTATGGCTAGGACAACTTTTAATTATAGTCAGAGCGGTAGCCATAATTACAGTTGAGAATATTAATCAATATCAGACTACTAATTGCCATAAATGACCCAGACTATCTCGCACATGAGATCAATAAATCAAAAGCAAAAGTGAAGAATTATGAATACCAGCAAATATTTAAATATTTTTACAGTTTCATATATTTGTTTATAAACAAATACCTGACGCGTGCTACCAAAGACACAGACAACATGCGCGAAAGAAAGAGAGAGCAGCCGAGAGAGAGAGGAAGAGGGAGAGAGAGGGAGTTCACTGGGAGAGCGCTTGCTATAAAGCTTTTGCTATAAAATTTAGCTGATCGAAACGAAAAGCTTGCAGCTGTCAAGCGTTTAAGCTTTATGGCAAACTTTTGGCCAGTTGAATTTCACATTTGCGACGGAGCGGTTCGTTGCGTCTGAAAATGCGCCGATCTTGCTTACGGTTTAATTAAACGAGCTAAGCGGCAATTAGTCTATCGCACAATTCCTATAAATGGCCTGTCAAAATATCGTCTAGTGGAAGTGAAGCGACTGTGAAACAAGTGTAAAATGTTTGCCATTAATTGGTTCGATGTGCTACCCGTTGCGATCACATTTGTCGCCATATTTCTTGTGCAAGTGTTAAATGTCTATTTCCACATACTGAGCGATACTGCTACGCCCAGAAATGCTGATATCGTTGACACAGTGACTGCTGAAACGGAGTGCCCGCTACCGTTCAACGGAGGTGCAACAACACCAAAAATTACAAACAAAAATGGATCGATATCGCCGACCATATCCAATGGCAAGTTGGAAAAGCAGACCAGCCTTTTGGATACCGATAGGTGGGTTCAAAAATCCGTTACACCATCTCCCTGATATAGCTTTAAATGTATTCATTGATTTTTCCGCATACGAGAAAACACTTTTCCCAAACAGCTGTCAATCATTCTTCACTTGTCAAAGTTCCCACAAAAAAATAATGTTATTTTGTTATTTGGTTTTTTATGTGCATTTCGTGTATTGACCATTGAATTACCCACCTAACTTATTATACAGCGCGTATACGCGATAAGATAACTCACTTCTTACTATGGTTAATATCTAGTCATGACTTTCACACGATTTCTATGCCCAGCAACATGCATATTACTTTCTTTAGCATTGTTGCTTATTGTTAGTTTCAACAAGTTCTGCACAATTAAATATCGGAAGTAAAACCAGATAAGGGTGTTTTTTTTATAGAAGATTGTTTGTTTAGTGAGCCATCGACTTTAATTGCGTGCCAACGCTAAACGGATGCGATGACAAGCGAATCTTTTATTGGTATGCGGAATTATTATTATACTGTTTAGGAGACTTATAGTTTATTAATGTGTTATTTGTATTTTTTGATATCGCAGCTGCTATATAGTTTTTAGTCCTATCATTTTGTGAAATTTATTGATCATTATTTTCGTTGAGTTATATAAAATACTATTTTTATAAATGGAATTTAGTCGCAAATTGTAATTAGGAATTTGTGCGCAGCTTAATTATGTTTTCCGCTGGTAAAAAATTTGTGTTTCAATTAAATTTCAATTAATATAAATGAATTAATAAATTAAATTATTAGTCTACATAATTTAATTGGTTTAGTTGTGCGTTTAGGCTCTCTCATGATTAGTCTAAGCATTGATAGCTTATTTTGCGAATTTAATTCGAAGTTCAGTTTTATCGCGAATTTTATATATATATTCCATCAAATCAGAGGTATCTTTCTGTCATCATCTGCTTCTTGTAATTTATTCGTATTGTTATTGAATGTCTTCACATATCCCCTGTTTTTTTGTGTTTCTCATCCGTTTGTGCATGCGTTTTCAATGTTCTATGTTTACAGTGGCATCTCATTGACCTCTATCAACACAACAACAACAACAACAGCAGCAGCCGTAACAAATGGTGCAACACCAGCCACACCGTCAACGTCATCACCAACACATAGTGCACACAATGGTTTCCCGACACATACCATCAGCTTTGAAACCCTGGGCGATGAGTAGTAAGTAACACACAATCCATACCCCAACAGAACAGCCTCTGCCCACCCCCACTCCAGCATATGCCAAATAACTCTATTTCAGAAGAAGTGATTAATTAATAGAAATATTGTGTTTTGTGTATCACCATTTACCCATTTAGCCATGAAGATGAGGACACTCTGTCGCTTGAGAATCTCTTTCCCTGCGATCAAACGGAAATCTATGCCTCCAAGAAGATCAGTTTCATTATCGATGAGCTCATTCAGACTGAAGTCAACTATGTGAATAATCTGCGCAAAGGACTCACCAACTATGGCCAGTTGCACCAGTGTGAGGATCTGCCGGAAGGACTTGGTGGCGATCAGCGACAGAAGCAGCTGTTAAGCAACATACGCGAAATTCTCGAGTTGCACGAAACGGAGATTCTGCCACTGATGTTGCGCAATCAGCGTGATCTGAAGGGTCTCTTTGATGAGTTTGCCACGCATTTTGAGGTAAGTTTGCGTGGGTTAACAACAAATTTGCTAACTGCCTTTTTGCCACGGCTTAAAGCAGCCGTCAATCCCAAACAAACGTGGCTCGCAGCAGCTGTTTGGCCGGTTCTGAAGCAGCCGATTGGTTTGCCAATCAATCAGTTTACCGCCCAAGCAAATTACAATTTCAAATATTTGCCATGCGTTTCTATTCTTTTGTTTTAACAGACAAGTTATGCGTTTCGCTACCCATAACATTGGCTAATAAAATAGACTGTCTTTAATCAAACTGGAACCTTCCTTCAGCTTTTAGAATTGGATATTTTTCTGTATGTATTAAAAAGTCATCGATAGTGAACTGACAGACAGAAAGTTGTATATAATATAAGTATAAATAATAAGTTGATAAATTGTGTAAACTTGACTCGAATTTCACACATCGATATTAGTTTAATAAACACCAGCAACAAAAAAAAAATATATCATTTACATATCAATTAGTTGATGCAGTCTAAAACTTGATAAGCCCATTAGCTGCTTGGATTACTATAGAGTATTTACAGTCTCAGTACGACATAATTTTTATTTTTATTCTCTGTTGGTTTTCTCATCACTTGACTACTTACGAGTATTTGCTTACTTGAGTGCGACACCTGCAAAGCTTTTAATGATTGGCGTTTTCTCGTTTTAAGATTTCTTTGTGTTCATTTTTAAGTTTTTGCTTAATGCTCGTGTGCATTTCTAAATCGTTTTCCGTTAGCTTACTGGCTTTAAGTTATTTTTTGCGGTTCACTAATTAATGCAAATTAACCTGAGCGACGACATCTGCAACTCAGTTGGAAATCAGGAAAATAGTGTGTAAATATGCTAAATACGCAGCACAAATTAACACTTTTCGCTTTGAGCTATAAATTAAAAGACATATTTAAAGTATATGTTGTTATTTTGTTAATAAAATAATGAGTTATTCGTTTATTTAAGCACATTTATTCACACCTGTTGACAAGTCTGTCACGACTCAGATAATTTCTTGACCAAGACCATCATTAGTATGCTCGAGAGTTTTGCACGTTTTTAATAATATTTCTTATTTTGAGCACATATTGTGTTACCAAGAAATTAAATGTACAACTGTCTTTTGTTTTGAAAGACAGTAACAAGATACAAGACACTTCTGCTTAGGCCGAGCCCAGTTTAGAATTGAGTTATTGGAAATCATTGTCTAGACAAACCTTAATAATAAACTTAACTGTTAAGAAATTGTACCTAATGCCAGACTGCAATATACCCTGGTACTCGATAGAGGTAAACAATGCAAGTTAAATGTTAAGTGCAAATTGATAAACAACAAATCGTTGGCTATTTGCGACTCGGGCAATTAGCAAGGCACTAAAAAATGATGACGAACAAAAGACATAGATTTCAGATACCCCGTAAAGTACCCACTGATAAGATTGAAATAATCGCGGAAATGTGCTCGACAAGCTTTGGGGCAGTCATTTTGAAATAATAAACCCCCCAAAATGAAATCCATTGTACAAATGTGTATTCAAAACATTTTGATAGCCGGCATTTCGTGTTGACGTCATCAGATTTTGAGCTCTTATTGTGAGGCTTGGCAAACACAGAGCTTTAAGTAGCCTTATATGTATGTCTATGTATGTATATATGTACATATGTTTGCATATATGTATTTCTATATCTATATTGTGCTCGCTCATTTGTTGCGCTGCTTAAAATAATGAAAATAGCTCAATGATTTTGCTTTTATTACAAATGCGATAAGGTCGCAATGGGAGAGTGTTTCTGCTATAATGTAAATATTCTTTGATGAGTTTTTTGTTGTGTTTTTGTCTTTTCTGTTTGTGGAATCTGTTAGTGTAGCAAGTGTGCCGCAATTGCGGCAACATGTGGCCAGAGACAGCTCCAAGTGTGACAGTCAAATAATCAATTTAAATTGAAACTGCCAGACAGCTTTGTATAAATATATATACATATATATGTATGTGCTTGTAGATATAAGTACAAATATGTGATCTTATGTCATGTCGATTTCCCAGAATGTACGCAGTTTTTTATTTAACATTTCAACATTGGCAGCATACGCTTAGCAGGTAACATTCTCGAGAACCCTTTTCATTTTTGGGCGCTTAACGTCTCTGAAGATTTTGCACAAATCTCTGGCTTAATTCTCAACAAACATGCTAACTGATTTATGTATTCGTTATCTCATTTCGCTCTTTTCTCATACAGCAAAAAAAAAAATGAGTAAAGTGATTTTTGAAAAGAAAAAGAATACAAATATTTATCATAAAAGTTTGCAAGATTTGTTTATGCATATTGTTTTGCCATATTCTGGCAACGTGTTCTATAAACAAATATATCTAACTCGATGGCTGATTTGAATTTCCTCTCAGCATTTTGTCTAACGGATTAATGAGGCTTTTCAATATATAATTGGCCAGCCGATTACTTTTCCATCATTTAAAATTGAACATTGATTTCGCTTAGATTTGCGCTAATTTATGATTATCTCAACACTTTATTTATATTTTATATAAGCTATTTAATCAGCTGCTGTTTTTATGCTTACGAAACTTGTCCGCTCAATTTTTGGTTATAAATCTCACAAAAAAAAATATTAAAAAAACGCTTCAAAGACAGCCATAAAAAGCTTGTTTGTTTAATTTATAAATTGCCTTCAACTCGTGACAAACTTGTAGATTCCAGTAAACTCGCACAATCAGTGAAAATTGAGATCTCTTTTTTTTCATAGATTAATTGAACGTTGATTACTGAAGAATGAATCTGCCAGATATTTATTCAACTGACATATATAGTTAGATGAATAATTATTTTCTAACGTTCTCACAAAATGCGCGAAGCCTATAAATCTTTCTGTATACATCAAACTATGTTCAAATGTATCTCTTTTTGGCATATGTGAAAAACAGCCGGATCTGATCATTATATCGTCTGGCAGTAATAACAATGATTGGATAAATAGTGGCTAATTTCAGCGATTTGCTGTCTTGTCGATGATCTACGACCCCATTTATAATATTAAGCCATACCAAAGATGTAATAAAATACTTGTTTTTTTGTCAAAAATACATGTCTGCATTGAAGTAATTCGCAAAATATTAAGTCATATTCGTAAGGTAAATATTAGTTTTGATATTTATTTAAGCCATACGGTTTCAGGTATTTGGGCTTAAGCCTTAAGATTAGGTGCACAAATACTATATTCGTAGCTGCGCCCTTTTCAATTTGACTAAGACGAGCTGGGCACGTTAAGAGTCTGATAACTTTACCCATGTTAACCTTACCAGACCCAACAATTACTTGACTGTCATAAAAATAAAGCTGTTTGTCTCTGTTGTTTTGTCAGCAAATACAGTTCACATGGCTCCATTTGAATGTCTGGGCAATACCCATTTCAATTTTTGGTCGCCGTCTCAGCTTCTCAGTCCCACATTTGTTGCCACAGGGACAGACATGCTTAAATATAGGTGTATATATATATATTTGTATACACATATCTAGATATCTCTACATACACTACTTTGCCTGTTAGCGAAATCATAATTTTTGAGCATTTAAGTCACGTAATTCCACACACCGCACACACAATCGAAACCAACTGCAAACCAACTGTGAACCTTGGCAAAGCCACTGAAAAATTGATATTCCACTCGTTTGCCACCCGCAGCACACCTCGACCATTCTCTCTGGCAATGCACAAATTTCCAAACTAGCTCAAAATGCAAAAATAGTCATGTATTTTGCTTGGCTTAGTTTTTGATGCATTTAATTTGATTATACGATTGGCTTGAATGTTGAACTCAGCTCCTTGCCTCCAACCGCCCTCTTCCTCTATGGCAAATCAAAACCTATAATCAAATGAAATAATAATTATACGATATGCTGACAGGCAGGAGATTAGTTGACTTAATTCATAGGTGTTGTGGCAATATTTGCATTTGCCTCGGGCTTCTCGATTGTAGATTGTGACTCGCCTGTCACAGCATGTTGGCAGCAGCTGGCTTCTGGCTGCAGGCTGCATTTGCATGTCAAACGTCTTCAATTATTCCATTAAGCAATTGTCGCACGTGTCGGTTTGAGAAATAGAAAACGAAACACAGCAAAAATGCCAACGTGTCTCTGCAACACAAGCTACACAATATTCTTGTCGAGGGTATTTTCTATATGAATTTGTTATACATTTTTTGGGTCGTGAGTCATTTGCATTGTGTCTAAATTGCTATGAAAATTGTTAATTTTAAATATACGTATACCCTGTAGATAAGCTCGCAAAGAGTATATATACACAAGAATATACAATATAATATTTAAAATAAAGCAAAATTATTACTTCGAAAAGCTCAAGTTATTGACTACTTAAAATCTTACCTGAAAATGAATAAGAATGAATAATAATTTTATCCATTGAATATATAATTTTAACACAGTTCAATTAACTTCACTTGTTCACTTAAGTTTTGTGTAATTATGCAGAGTGCAGGGTATTTCATAGTCAACGAAACAGTTAGACAAAAACTAGTCGCTGGTTTTGCTATTTTATTTGCTTGACAAAATATTTTGCAAAATTTGTAAAATAATTTATATGTTTGTGTGTCAAAAATTGTTTTTTTTTTCTCTAAAATTATTTTAGGACAGATATATACTGGTTTAAATATGACTGACAACACTCACCTAAATGGTTTTATAATTAAATAAACGCTTTAAATATTTACAGAAAAACCGTTTCTATTGTTACGTGGACTTTACCATGGGCAAAAAACAATCGATGCAGTTGCGTCAAGAAAATCGTGAATGGCTGCAGGTAAGCATTAATTAAGAAACATACCTTTATCAAGTGTTAACAGTTTTCTTGTATTTATAGAGCTATCAAACGAAAATAAAAGACAAACTGGGCATCGATAGTTTTCTAGTGCAGCCCATACAAAGACTGACCAGATATCCATTGCTGCTACAGCAATTCATATCGGTAAGTTAAGCACTCCACTTGTGTACTGAAACCATTTCAAAAAAACTATTTTATATAGGAGTTCTATAAGACGGGCATTAGCTGTAAGCCCGTTCTGAGTGCTGTTTGCAAGCTGGAAACGCGTATGCGACGCCAGCTGGATGTGGTCAATCAGGCAGAGGAGATACACAACATAGATGAGCTCAATGAGTTCGATCTGCAACAACAGGGTAACTTTCGTCGCTCCACGGAATTCGATGCACAGTATTTTCCGACAAGAAAGAAATATCGCGCAAAGATCTTTCTCTTCGATCGTTGTTTGGTCTGCACAGAGGTGCGGAAGCGTCGCTTAGCCTTCCGCCAGCACTACAATTGGGAGCATGTGGAGCTGCAGCGTCCGCTGGAGCTGGCCACCTCCAATGCCAATAAGACTATCAATCTGCTGATCCGGCAGCAGGATAAGGATAAGCCCAAGCGTGAGGAGTACTCCTTTGTCGCAGCAGAGGCATCTGTGGTGAAGCAGTGGCTTCTGGCCACTCACAAAATCATCGAGATCGCTCGATACGAGCAGTCCCAGAGGAATACCTTCAGCTTGCCGATGGATCTGGTGCTGGGCGTCGTGTTGGCCATCTGGCTGATATGGCAGTACTTGTAGTGCTAACTATATTGTATACTTTATACTATCTACGATTTAATTTAGAATAAAGCTAAGTTATTTGTACACGTATTTTGCCACAGTGCTGGTCACATTGCTTCCCTGCCTGTCCGAGCGTAAAATAAGTTTGCTGCAGTTGACAAATATTTATGATAAATTGCCTTTGCAGCTCTGCCGCTCTTTTGTCCTTGCCCAGCAACCAGCTGCCAGCTCTTGCTCCTGCCCCTGCTCCTGTTCTAATTCTAACTCACAGCACCAGGCGAATGCGAAATTTAAATAGCTTTTCATCTTTTTTTGCCACACACACACACACAAAGTGGCTGCTTCTTTGGGGCCATCCTTGCTACACATACCCGTGTACAGTGGCAACCAAAAATTTTATGACAAATCTATTTGCTTAGAATTTATGACAGACTGCATCAGCGGCACCGCAAGGAAACCTGTCAGGGAGCGACTAAAGTCCCTCTATGCAGTTTAACAAAGGTAATGATTATATTTCTTTCGTTTTGGACTCTCTTCAAACTTCTGTAAAGAAAAGTAATCAGTTTTTGAATTTACTTAGGCCTAAATTGCCAACTTGTTCTTTTATGACTACAGCCCAAAAGTATGCAACAAAGAACTTTATCATATTTATCTCTTAACCACTGTGCCGGACATGTGTAAGAAAATCGCAATCAGAGCACATTTTACTTTGATTATCCGGTCAAGCAATTCAAAGTAAATAATAATCACATATATCTGGAAGAAAATTGCATATCAAAGAGCACTCTCAAAAGGCCAAAATGCAAACTGGCCCCAGGCCAATCAAATGTGAGCAGAGAAAAAGAAACACGCTAATGAAGTTAAACAAGCGCGCCCAGAAGTATGCAATGGAAATTTGCAAAGCTGTCTTCATACAAGACTCGATGTGTGTGTGCGTGTGTGTGTGTGTGTTTCTGCTTTTGTGCATGTGTTTGTTAGTATATGTTGTGCTTTACATAGTGACAAAATTTGCACAAAAGCAATTTGTTAAGAGCACACACACAAAAAAACAAGCACCAAAAACGAAGAAGAACGCAACGCGACTTGCTTGACATGTGAGTGGTTGTAGATGGGGGGTGTGGTTTGGAGGGGGGCGGTATAACGGCATTTTCGGTGCTGCCAGCTGATTTTTATGCATGCAGCAAGGCAGCGAAGGCCCTCGTTGTTGCCTTATTGTATTATGTCAGTTAAGTTGTCGCTGTTGTTTGCTTGAAGGATAAGGGATAATGCCGTGTCCCTTACCAGGCAGCTTAAGTGTATTAATGTCTGTCAAGTAGTTGTCGCAAAGCTGACGTATATGCAAATCATTTGACATTTTTATGAGCTAGCTTAAAAACAAAATTCGAAAACGAAACATGTAACAGAAAAAGAAAAAGAAAAAGAAAGCTAGCAAAACCAAAAACCCTAAATGAACCAATTGCTGTTCAAGTGGCAGCCATTAACTTTTTTGCTTCCATTTTTTGTTCTGCAAGCTGCGCTCTGCAAGTTTGTTGTCTGCATAGACTTGTGAGTAAATATTTCAATATTTTTTCAGGCCATTGGCAACAGTTTTTTTGGCACGCCTCTCACGTAGCTGCCCACATGCCACATGAACGTTTTCCTTTGCCCCCCAAAATATTTCAGCAAAATGCATAATGGCAAAGCAAAAAGTAGTCACAGCTCGACAAGCAGATGCCCTGTACTAAGTTGTGGAGTTCAATCAAAAAATACACAAAATCTACTTGGCAGATGCTGCTGAAGCTGTCTTCTATCTCTATTTCTGTATGTGCTGGGTACAGGGTATCGGTGGCATTGGCACACAATTCACAATATTGCGCCTAAAAGCGGGCAATAGAATTGTAAAATGTCTTGAGGCATAATTTATTTGAATTTAACATGTGCGCGCACGTACTCAAGAAGGCCCAAGTTGGGGGTTTGGGCTGAAAGCAAGGCCAAATATGTTTTTTGGCCCCACAACCCCAACACACACACACACACACACACTCACACACACACGCACAATATTTGGCAAGTAATTGCGCAAATTATTGCACGTAGTAGCATCCGGCTAGGCGTAACATATGTCTGAGCTGTTGTCTAGGCGCCGCAGCTGCCACTCGATCACACCCAAAACACACACACATCACACACACACACACACATAGCACGACACACAGTCGCTCACAAGCCCATCACAGTTCACGCTTCATTAAATTAACTTGACATATTCCGTTGGCAAATCGCGCTGGCACGCAACTGTTGCTAATTTTTACTTAATATGCCACACAAGCTCATCCCCCCCTACCACCCAGCCAACCCCAGCCCCATAATGCAACATTTTTCGGGGGCACACTGATGTCCATCTAGTTCATTGGTTTTGTGCAACACATGCTCGATATGCTCATATGTGCGTATAGTATAAATTATCCAATTCACGCCTCAGCGCAGTTGTCGTTTGCCATTTGCTGGAGACAGGAGGCAGGAGGGGCTGCGACAGCAGCAGCAGGACACATAAGGACACACAAATTGTATTACCTCGCATGTAAATGCAACACTTAGGCACGCATCCAGACTCTAGACTCCAACTCACAACGCCCTGCTTTCCGTTCCGCATTCCCATCTTCAACTCGCTCGAAGGGCACTTATGCATGTCGATTTTTGTATTCGTATTTTCGAGTGTATTCCGTTTGTCTTTCGGTATTTGGGCTTGAAAAAGTTCCAATTTCTGTTGTGAAATGGCACGTGAAACAATGCGTTAGGTACAAATTGTTGAGCTGACAAGGGGGAGTTAGGTAAAACAGCACAGTGGCACTGAAATGAAAAACCACAATTCAAAATGTTATACAAGTTGTATAAAGATTTGTGAATGATATACAAATATATTTTAAATATTTAGAAAGCGAAAAGATTGCGTAAAATGTATAACTTTAAAGGTCGTAATATATTTTTGTGCCTATTTTTAATTAAGATTCTATCCTTGAGAATATTTAAAAATATTGCAATCGAACCCACTGTGCAACAGTTCTTTGGAGCTGTTGTTGGCACAAATCAAGCAAAACGACAATGCCTATGCGAATGTGTGAATTTGAGGACGATGACAACTGATAATAGATCGAATTACACACGCTCAGCCCAGCAAAAGCCCCAAAACGAGAATCCCGACTACAACCGACCGGGTGGGGGGCATGGTAAAAGGGGCGGGCAAAGTGAGGCAAAGCTGTTTCTGTTCTTCGGCGAGCTCCAATTGTGTTGGGTGCAAATGTGAAAAATGTCTAGCAGGCAGGCAGTCGCACGTTTCACACACACACACACACACACACACACACAGAGGACACACACACAGAGGACACACACACACAGAGGACACACACATCGAGGACACGACCCTTAAGACCCGAAAATGCGGCGCAGCATTAGATAAAAAACAAAGGCATGTAATTTTTGTAGCATGGCCGTAAGCCACAAAACGAGCACAGACTGAAAGAGAAAGAGAAAGAGACAGCGACAGAGAGAGAGAGAGAGAGTTGGGCTTGCAAAATGGAATCGGAAACGGAAACGCTTGATAATCGCAGTAAGCGAAAATGCAGCGTCAACTGTGTGTGTGAGGTAAAAAAACGTTTCGAATGTGGCCACCGAGGATGATGAACATGATGATGATGATGATGATAACGATAATACTGATAATGTTGATGATGATGATGATGCCTGATGACTGATAATGTGATGTTCGAGAAGGTGATGGGATGGGCCAATGGCTTGGAGGCTTAAATCACGTATACACGCATTGATAAATGCGCCCAGCAAAGTGGCATGTTTTGGGTTAAATGCGGTGCAAAGTGTGGCAACCCAATAGCTAAGAAAGAGCATTGAAAGAGAGAAGGTAACAGATTAGAATAATATAGCAACAAAAGGATTAAATAACAATTAAAATTTAAATTTAAAAAATAATTGAGTAAAAAAGTAAAAGTTTTCCATTCAAGTTTAGTATTTTAAATGTAAACTCAATAAAAAATAAAAACTATAATATTTCAATGGAATTTTATTACAAATATATATGCAATGAAATTGAGCCTGAAATGTTTTTGCCGTGTAGCAAACAGGTCGTGCTGAGTGACAGTTCAGTTAGCTGCCAAGAAGGCAACTGTCATCCCGGGCGATGTGACGCGTATAAATCGCCCAGTTGGCGGAGGCTCACCTGGCGTGCCAAAACATATGGCACTCGGAAGGGCTACGACAGAGTTGTGTACATACATCTTGCTTACAGGCCAGCGCCAAATTGAAATTTAAAACGGGAAAACCAATAAAAAAAAAACAAGTTACACACAGACGACGACGAGGACGAGGACGATGTGGACGACAACCAAGAAGGCGGCAATACAAATTGCAGCGACGACAGCTCAAAGGCTCGCAGTGTCTCCAGCCCAGGACACACAATCTACAATCTGCAAGGAACCCAAACGCCCAAACCCCCAAACCCCAAATGCAATTCGCGCCCAGCGTGCATACAAATGTCGTGCGCTAAAGGATAATATAATGCAAGTTGTTGAAGAATAATGGTTCTGCCAGAAGACAACAACGTCGCTGCCAATGTCTAAAGGACTAAGCATGTCTGCCAAGAAGACTCAGCCCTCAGCTCCCAGCCCTCAGCTCTCCCAGCCCTCAGCTCAGCCCAGCTCCAGCCAGTCAAAACTCAGACATGAGCTGCTCTGCCCTGTTTGCTGCACTGCAACCAGACGGACAATAACGATGCCAGGCAGCAATGACAGGCGATTTTAATAGAATCTATGGCAGGATGTGGACTAAAGCAACCAGTCAAGTGAGTGCGGGGAACAATGATATTAATGCTTGGCCTATGACATCGACTTGCCTGTCATTGATTTGCTGAGCTGGCGTCCAAACGCATGTTATGAATACGTTAGCTATTCAATTGTCATTCAATTTAATTTGATCGTTGTGGTGAAAAACTATTTAAATTCAATAAACTGTTGGCCTAGCTTAAGATTTAAGAATAGTTTAAGCAGATCAAAACTGTCTGTTTATAAAATGTATTCAATTTCAAAGTTTTTATATAGTTTATGGTTTATTGACCTCTTTTTAAGATATATAAAAATGTATTTTTAAGACATTTATATTACGTATATATTAAAAGCATACGCCCAAAAACAAATATTCCAATTTGCCACGATTTTATTTCCGAAAACTCCTCTTAAGTAAGTAGTACGCAGTACACAAAAATCTCGGCAAAAAATCATGCAAATACTTATAAAAACCACTGGCCGAGTGTAATAAAAGTATGTAGTCTGAGCCATAACAGAAGTGAGTTGCAAACAAAGCTAACAAACGAGTACAAAACATATATCAAGTAAACTGACTGCAGGTTTTACAAGCGGCACACGCTGCGTATAAAAATTTCCACATGCTTACACAAAAATTGCCAATTAAGCGCATTTATGACTGCAACGGGAGAAAATATGTGTGGCATGCAACTAGGCGCTGGACTTGGGCGAATTGGGTGGCTCATAAACATGCTTAATGTGGAGACGACGTGTGCACTCGTTGCGGACTCTGGATTATTAAGAAACAATGAAGCAAGAAGTGCTAGATGCGCAGCAGTAGAGAGACAGAGAGACAGAGAGAAGGGGAGAAAGTGAGAGAGAGAGAGAGAGAGAGAGAGAGAGAGAGAGACGACTGCAAGTATGCAATAAAAGCGGACACATAATGCCAAGTTTATGGCACAAGTTAAAACCGGAAACTAAATAGTTGACACCGCGCAAAATGCAGCACAGACACTGCCAGAGGATTAACATTTACTACTGCCAAGCGACAGTGACAGAGTCAACATCACGTTGCGACATCTTCCTTCACATATCAGTTGTGGGAGGTGGGGTGGTGAGGTGTTGAGGGTTGAGGTTTGAGGGTTGTTCTTGTCTGTTTTGGGGGTAGCTGACTCGTAAAGCGCCACCGAAATGACAACATAATTTGTAATTTGAATTTGTTTCGTGTTCGAGCATAAGCAATGAGCTCGAAATGCCAACAACGAGTCCAAACTCAGACAGATGCTGATGCATCCCATGGTCAGCCGGAGAGATATCAAAAATTCAATTCGCGTTGCGATTTGCACTTTGGTGGACTTCTATGACTTATCAAATCTCATCTTGAGGTCCTACTTTACTCTAACGAAAGTTTTATATATGTTTTGCCTACTTATTTAGTTACTAAATTAGTTTTCAGAGAAAATGTACAAAAAAAGCCCATTATAAGTTGGGTCAAAACTTTACTGTAACAAATTAGACTTTGTTTTATACAAAATATTGATAAAAATCAATATAGAAAGTAATTTAAAACAGAAAATTAATTTAACTAAACAAGCTAGTCATGAATAAGACGGAGATGTTCAGTTGTAACAGACATAAACCGAAATATCTCAAGACAAGTAAATGAGTTCATTTGACAGCAAAGCTGAATTAACCCCAGCTGTCCAACCTGCATTTTTTATTTTTATATCTTTAGCTTGTGGTAAATGTTGGCCAATAGCATTTCATTTCACTTAAAGCAAGCGACAATTACCCGCAAATTAATTACTTCATTGTGCAGCAAGTATTTCTTGTTGCTCTGACAAAGGCAAATATACAATGAGAATGTCTTTGGCTCCCTGGCTGCTGCTGGAGAATATATAAATTCAGGAGGGTAACTTGCATTACAAATAATTAAAAAGTGGTCGGGCAGATGGGGCCAAGGGTTAAGACTGGACTTAAACAGAGAGTAGCCGGAGTGCTGGTTGGGGTGCTGGTCGGGGTGCTGGTCGGGGTGCTGGTCGGGGGGACATGTCAGGACTAAGTATACTTCGGTCTTAGCTGATTTATGCGCTTATCACGCAAGCGTCGCCGTTTTTATGGCCTGTCTCCGGCGTTGTCTGCCTGGGCGTCGTTTAGTTACCAGCCATAAATGTCGTGAATGTCCTGCCGCATTGGCGACGCACACAAATTTGCCATTTTAATGCTACGACGAGCCCGACGACGACGAGCGCTTTTCAATTTTGCACTACCTGCGACGGCTTAGCCCTCACCGCCATCCTCAATCCTCAGTCCTCAGTCCTCAATCCTACATTTTTCCATCGTTCGTCCTGGGCCGTGACAGTTTTTCATTACGCACAAATCCTTCGGGCATACAGTCGCCAATGTCGTCACAGCCGCATTAAAGACTGAACGCCAAAAGAAATAGCTCGCCATGTTTGCGGTTGACTTACAAGTTTGCCAAAAATTGCGCCAGTTGCAGCTAATCCAACGAAAAACAAAAAAATAAAATAAAATAAAGCGAAATACATTTTTGAAAGAACGGTTTCTAGTTCGAGAAAAGCTATATTGTTTCCAACATTTTATATATTTAATACTGGAGGAGTACTTGTAAAGGAGCTCGGGCACTTGTGTACCTCATGTCGAGAATAAAGTTCCACAGTTTAGTGTAAATATTCCCATATTTATTGAATGAGTCATTCATACTACTTATTCAGACCAGATCAAGGAATGTATATATCCCAAAGGATATATACAAAAAAGCTATAGACTTTCATAGAACAGATCATACAAAGTGTATTGCCTACTTTTTGGCGAAAGGCCTTAAATTATACACCACATTTGGTTATAGTTAACGGGTTTTCTTATCAAAATGTGTCTTGACTTTAACCCAAGCATGTTCGTCCTTAGACTTGTGCATGCATGTCCTGTCTGAATGGGTGCTCGACGTTTTTATTTTATTTTATTTTTTCTTCTACTTGCAATTTGATCCTAAAAACTCTTTGAAAGTGACATTATGCAAGTTGTGAGCAACAACTGCAGCTATCTAAATTACCCAGAGACATCCGGCATTGCGAGCAAAAGGACTTTGACGTCGCCGCCAACGATGCTGCACGCTTAAGGATAAACAGGATGCGCCCAAGGAAGCTGCTGCTGCTGTTGCTGCTGCTGCTGCTGTTGCTGCTGCTGTTTCTGTTGCTGCTGCTGTTTCTGCTGCTGCTGCTGCTGCTGTTTCTGCTGCTGCTGCTGCTGCTGTTGTGCTTTGCGAATGTCTTTGCCATTTTTTTACTGGCAATTTCATTTGCGCGGCGACAGCGGAAGGAAATGTAACAAGGATGTGTGCATGTGCTAAGGACTAAGCGCAGTTACACTTCTCTCTCTCTCTCTCTCTCTCTTTCTCTCTCTCTCTCTCTGTGTGCCTCTAACTATGGCAAGTGCTTTGGTATGCGCATATAAAGATAAGTTAATGCAATGGGGCTGAACTCGACTGGACAGGGTCACCAATTAATGAGCAGTCGTCATGTGGCACGTGTTAACATTTGGCCAAGTGTTGCACACTACTTCAGGACGCGTTGCCCAATGCCAGAAGTCACGTATACTGCGTGAGTTACGGGCCACAGAAAAGCTTTCCACAGCAAACATGTTTGTGCACGTCGCACACTTGCGAACTGATGCCCAGACAACAAGGACTCAAAAAGCAACACACACACACACAAACACACACACACTCACACACACTGCTACACACAAAGAAAATATCAAGATCCGAGTTCAAGTAATTCTCTGAATAAGATACATAATTCACTTGTGATCTTTGATCACGATTCTTGTTCCCAGATATTATTTGCTGTGGTTGTTATTGTTATTATTATTGGAAGTCTAGTTGCCACATTATTTTCTCTCTGTGCATCTAGTTATTACTTAATTGTAGTCGCTACACTTTTTTCTCTCTGTGCACAGTTGGCAACCGTTACAGTTAGGACAGCAAAAGACACTCAACCTTTACGAGAAATGCGCCATCTAAAAATAATAAAAACATAGAAAAACAGAAAAGAAGCAAATAAATCCAAGCACTACTTTAATGTTGCAGCCTCACTTCGTTGTTGAGCAGTATTTGCACCAGGGTCACAACCGGCACAATCATCTGCAGACCCATGTGCTGATCCAGCGCCCGAGCGATCTGTGCTCGCAGTTTGGTCTCCAGGCGAACGCTCACATTGCGCTGCTCGGCAAGATCGATGCGTGGCAACTGCAGCGGATAGTTGACGGGGCAGGTGACGATCAGCTGCAGCGCAATGCCACGCGCAGTGGTGCCGCCATTCTGATAGTTGTGGGTGCTCAGTGGCAGCTTGAGGCGCAGCTGCGGACTGCGACACAGCACCATATACGGCAGTCCCAGGTAGTGCAGCGTTAACACCTCATTGCTCTGCAGATGCCTATTAAATTTTGCCAAGCCCTCCAGCCTTACCTCTCGCTCCGCTGCCTCGCACTCGTTCTTTGACATATTCGACAATTTTTACCAATTTTCTTCAATCTGTTTTGAGTTTGTTTTTTTCGAAACATGTTTGAAATTTGATAACTGAGATACAAAACAACAAATCTCTCATAAAACCAAAGGGGAAAATGTTATAATTTATAAATAAAACCTCAAGATTTAAATATATAAATATAAATTCATATTTAGAAATTAAGTTTAGTGCAGAATGTTGCCTACTGGGCGAAACAGATAAAAATCATTTGGCTGATTTGATTAGCACAGATTTGGAGTCCCGCTCTCATTTCGCTATGCAAATTACTTTTGTGATTATCACAAAAATAGAGAAACACAAGCAGCAATCACAACTCACAACTCCCACTGCACCCACTCACACAACCCCAGTTGCCACAATCTTGCAGCACACAGTTTCTGTGCAGCCGTGCATGAGGCAGCCACGCGTTAGATATGAGTTAGATTTGTATTAGATTTGCATTTTAAAGCAATTCGTGCCCCACGTGAGAGTGCCACGTATGTGTTTTCACTTTGATTTCACGCACCGATGCCTCTCCAAAAACTAATGAGTGAGATCCCAAAAATTGCATTCCTATTTAGATGTAGAGATGTGTGTGTGAGTGTTTCAGATTCATCTTCATTCGTGCTGGGGCTGTCAATCAAATTTCAATCAACTCATTTGGGCACTCAGGCACTCAGGTCAATCATTATTATGTAGTAGGGTTTCTTTTGGCATTTGCCACATTGCGCATACGTCACATGGGCTCAGGAGGCAGTCAGTCGGCTTCAAACTCACTCAAACATGTTGCATGCCTGCCCCTACAACTGCAACAAAACGAACTGTAGATGGAGCTGCGAGCCGAGAGTATTGTTCTCGTTCTCGTTCTTGTATTCGTACTTTCGTACTTTTGCTCTGCCTATTGGTTGGCTAGCTGGCTGGCTGTGTTGCTAGCTGGCTGGCTGGCTGGCTGGCTGTATGAGCAGGCACGTGGTGTGGCACCTACCCCTGCCGGCAACGCCCCGGAACGTGACCAAAATGAATTGTAGGCGTGCACCAAAGTAGTCAGCCAGTCAGTCAGTCAGTCAGTTGGCGGAAGATTGCGTGAAATAAATTCGCATCGCATGCTGATAATAGAAAAAGGAACAACAAAAACAAATCAAACTGACTTCGTAAGACTGCATTCAGCCTTTAAGTTTGAATTTCGCCAATTTCAAATGTTCGAGTATTGACTTTTTCTGCCCATTACAGGGATTTAGCATTCTGATTGGCCGCCGTCGCTGAGGGACACCTTGCTGGGGGTATGCTGTGGAGGGATCGGGGGTTGCATGTTTTGCGGCTGTCTAAGCACTTTACAGCATTTGGCTGGCACTGTTTTTTGAGAGCTTCTGTCGTGCCGCAAAAGTTTTTGAAGCACTTGTTTACGATTTCAAGTGCATTTTGTTGGGACTGCCATCATAATTTTGAGTCGCTGCAGCCGCTTCGATTTGCCCCTTGCCCCTCTTTGTGGAAAGTTTTCCACTCAAATCTCAGCTGTTAAGTTCCTCACTTTGGTTATGCTAATGAGGCAAGTTTGGTGCCCAGTGCGCAATTCGCAGAAGCGATTTCTTCAAATTATCAGTTTCTAGTTTGAGGCATTGTCTGTGGAATTTAAGCAGCTTAATTTTACAAGTGACTGAAAACAATCTTTACTTTATTATTGTTTGAAAGCGACCAGAAACATCTTAACAGACAATAACAACACTGCATGCGCCAAAAAATGAAAAACATTCGCGAAATGATGGAAAAATATGTATGTTTTTTTTAGTATATAGGCACGCCCAAAATTAATAGGCACCGCCATGTTCAACAAGCAAGTTCAAATCATATTTACACTTATCACTTACCGATAAGATATTATATGGCAACTTATGTTATAAAAGCCACAACAAAGGCCGCAAACTCTGCGTAAAACAGTTGGAAGACGTTGAAAACGCTGGTCCAGCATGAAATACGCAACTCTATTTTTGATCGGGCTACTGCTGTCCGTAGCTCTGCTCAGCGATGCCCAGAAGCAATCTGGCAAGACCAAGGGAAAGTCCAAGAATAAGGTGAGGCCCACTGTGGCCCCCGAGCCGAAGAGGCAGGTGCTCCAAAGAGCTGTACCCTGTTCGTCGGCCAAGTGCAAGTTACCCGACTGCCGCTGCTCCGATGCAACATTGCCACGACCCAAGTTTAAGGGCAAGGAAAATGAGATACCGCAGGTGAGGTGCAACAAAATACTTGATTCAGGTTGTTGCAATATCTACTCATATTTGAAATACTAAAGCAATCTTTATATTTTAATTATTTTAAAGTGTTAGATCCTTTTAGTGGCATTTCATAACTTTCAAAGATTTTAAAGAACACAATTATGTTTTCTTTAATTATACATTTCAAATATAATATTGGAGAGTACACAAATATTAAAATAGTATCCAATTAAGCTCATCATCTAATCTGAATTAAGACTGTTGTTATCCATCTGAAGTTCAGCTCTAATTTTAAGCAACTTTCAGTTTGTCACCATCACATTTGACGATGCTGTGAATGCTGTGAACTATGCGCAATATGAGTTGCTCTTCAATGGGGTAAGCAATCCTGATGGCTGTCCCGCAACGGGCACCTTCTTCCTGTCGCACGAGTACACGGATTATGTGCGTGTGAATGCATTGTACAATGCTGGTCACGAGATTGCCCTCCACTCGGTGACCCACGGTGATGGCACCGACTATTGGCGCGTTGCTGACGTGGAGACCATTGAACGTGAGTTTGGCCAGCAGTTGAAAATGCTGGAACGGTTCGCCAAGGTGAATCCAAAGAGTGTGCAGGGTATGCGTTTGCCCTTCCTTCAAATCTCTGGAAACAATACTTTCGAGGCGGTTAAGAATCTGGGTTTGACCTACGACAGCTCCTGGCCGACGCAACAGCACAAGGACCCAGCCATGTGGCCCTACACTCTGGACTATTTGTCCATACAGGACTGCCAGATTGGTCCCTGTCCGGATGCAGCACTGCCTAGCGTTTGGGTGAATCCCATGGTCACATGGACTGACACTGAGGGTTACAGTTGCTCCATGATCGATGCCTGCGTCTATCCGCCTGCTGACAATGTGGATGCACTCTTCGATTGGATGCTCGAGAACTTCAATCGCCACTACCAGGGCAACCGAGCGCCATTTGGCATGTATCTGCACGCTGCCTGGTTTTCAAGAGGACGCAACTATTTTGCCGCCTTTAAGAAGTACGTACCAAGAATTCTTTTATCAATATCTAGTTAACGTGACTAAGGAATCAGGAGGAGTTTATGATCCATAATCACTTCACTCACAATCTAGTGCAGTTTACCGCTAATTAGTTATTGACAAAGGGGGGAAAAACCATGGCATTTTATCTTTATTAATATGCATTTTCGTTGGACAGATTCATGCAACATTTGACCACCTACCCCGATGTGTATATGACTGGTGTTAGCCACATGCTGGAATATGTGAAAAAGCCGGTGCTGGGCAAACCGTTCAAAGAATGCGAGAAGAAGCCGAATTCCACCTGTCTGCCGGTTAACTGCAATGTCCAAAAGGTGTCCACTGGCGAGGTGCGTTACATGAGTGCCTGCGACAAGTGCCCCACTGTATATCCCTGGCTGAATAATCCATTGGGCGAGGATATGTAAATGTTGCACACCCAATAAACTAACACACACACACAGCACTTTATAATGAAGCTATCATGTTATGATTGTCTGGCAACTTGGCAACTTGGCCATTTCCATATCCCAAATACATTTATTCCAATGATCTAAGCCAATTTACATTTTCCGCCATGTCCTCCAAACCGAAACGTCACTGATAAATGACTTGAAATTATGCTGGCGGCCGTGAGGCGCTTAATTAACTCATTCAGCGCTGAGCCCAACCAGTTCCCCCCTTTCCCTTTCCCTTTCCCAGCGTCAACGAGACTTTGTCAATTTCGCTACTGTTGGCCTAAAGTGTAGCCATATTTTATGGCATGAATTAATACGCCACACGGCGCTGTCCAGGCTCCACAGCATTATGGGGCAAGCGGGCCAAGTGGGGCAAGTGATGCTTGCTCTGTTTTCTGCAGGACGTCAATCCAGCTGCTACCTGTTAATGACACGAACGTGGACACGTAGCCCATTGCTTGGCCTGTCAGCTGGTTGCATTTTTGGTTAATGGACTTCTAACTAATGGCCACTGCCAGAAGGGCTGTCAGAGGGGCTGTTGGTCAGAAATTATCTATGCGCAGATCGAACATGAACATGAACTAAAGCATCAAATTATGCTGCGATGCCAGCTGGCACAGTGGGGGACATCTAAATACTACAGTAAGGATAAAGTGGAATATAAACATTTTTGCAAGTGTTGAACTCCTCATCCAAGTAAATCCATTCCAATTTAATTAATTTATTACTTGCACAATACTTAAGAATATTTACAATTCGTTGATATTAACTCAATTTATGAATTCTTAAAGCAGATTATATTTATTGCATTGTTGTTGCACCTCTCACACGCTTATGACAATGTTTATTGACCAGCACATAGCCCGGTGGGCAGCTGGCTTCCAGTATATTGTAGGGCCTTACCAGGACGGTGTCGTTTGGTTGCCACTTTGGTAATTCCAGCACGGGCACAGACACTGGCACATAATGGCTGGTTGCACTCAAACTGGGATTGGTGGTTTCAGCTTCAATGATTTCACTGTCGGCAACTGCAACGGTGCCTTGGTAAAATGCCAGCAATAACAGCAAGTAAAGGACACCACGCAAAAGTCCTTGCAACATTTTTTATTATTAAAGGTCTGCTTTAATGTAATGCTATATTCAGTAACAAGTAACTCGTCTCGCAGCTCTGCAATTATAACTGAGACAATGACAATTGAAAATAGTTTACTTATTAGCTGATTTGTGCTCCGAAATGTTGGCCAATTTTCGAAAGCAGTTGCTGCCTTATAAGGCACCTGGATAAGAGCTCTTCGGATGATGAATAATAGTCGGTGTTCAAGGTTTTGCCATAAAGTAGATCAAAGATAAACTTAATCGTTAAAAATTAATAAAACAAACAACCATCTTTTCATCTTTTATAGGAAATCAAGGCAAAAATTATTGAAAATTAATTGAGCTGACTTTGAAAAATAGCTAAAGTTCATTAAACTAATATGAATAATATTTTGAAATATTTAAGAAAAATGTTAAGATGCAGATGAAGACTTCGAAAAGTGTACTTTAATCAATGCCAAGTAAAAAGCAAACTAAACTTTTCTTTTATGAAAATGAAGGAGAAACCAGCACAAATCCTGCCAAGAAAAGCTAAGAAAATTGCAAATATTTACTGATTACTTTGGCAAAACGCCACTGATTAACAGACGCATCTCCATTGTCCGCATTCAGAGACAAAAGATACACAGCCTCAGCTTCCCTTGCACAGACAAGTCTACTTACCTCTACCTGGTAGAGCGTTGTTAATTTTCTCATAAAATATTCTTTCTATTGACTGGGTATTTTATTTCCACACACATAAATATATATATTTTGTGTATATATATTGCTTTGCTTGTTTATCGAAGGTTGTCATAAACAAATGACTGTACGACATGTTGTACGGAAAAGCCTCCCTCAGTTGGTGTCTTGCATCAGCTGCCGGAGTGCCAAACACGCATTATTTTAATGTATTTTTGCATATATTTTCTTTACATACTATTCTATTATACTTGCCACAATGGGCGGGGCGCCCAAAAAGGTTTCACAGCATTTAACCCTGGGCTGCCACTGTTTTTGTTTTTTTTTTTCAAAATTATGACAATTTAAATGACATTTTTATGCTGAGCATTTTCTTTTATTTTCTTTACGTTTGCCTTTTCGCGAAAATTGTGATGCTGCCACTTTTAAAGGTGGCCCATTTGCGATGAGGGTTGACTCACTTTTAGGGGTGAACTATGGGTGAACTGACAAAAGAATTTTTAAGAGTGGCTTTGCAACAAAAAATGTATTCGGTAATTTCACAATTTCGTATAAGTCATTTGGCATTTATTATGCATGTAAATGAAGATGTTCTTATAATTATCTAAAGTTAATTGGATATTGCAAGCAAGACAATTAACACTTAAGCTAAAAACTATAAATATTTTAATAAACTTCGGCTTAACTTTAGAGTGTAGTTTCCGCTATAAAATCTGAACTCGTATAGATATTCTCCATAGTAGAAGCACGCCAATGCAGCTCTCACTTTTGTGTATATATGAATATATATATAATAGAATAAAACAAGTGAGAACGTTGCAGTCGGTTGTAACCGATTACGAAATACTCTGTTACCAATAAGTAATACCATCTGATAACAGATGCCACAGAACAGGGTCGGTATTTCTTCAGTCTACCCAATATGTCTATTAATGATTACGTCTATAGCTACTTAAGATTTGAACGTTGACTGAAATTTATTTATTTACAATAACTTAGTAATTGCAATTAATCATCATTTATTTATACTTCAAGTACAGTAAATATATTCTCAATTGAATTGACGGCAATTTCATTATGCATGCAATTATTCAACTTTGTATTTCATGTTTTCCTTTATCGCCGTGTCTGACACAACTAACTAATTGACAACAACTTGCGACTGTCTATTTCAGTCTGGGCAAATGGATAGCTCTCTGATCGTCAGGTGTTGAAGCTCGTGTAGTTGTTTAGTCTCGAAAGTGAATTTGAGTAGAGTAAACGTGTTTTCCAAAAGATGGCAACTCAACTAAATCTACAGTTACCATTCAGCCTGTCCACATTGCTGCTGCTGCTGCTGTTGCTGCTGCACTTCTTGGGATCACCGTGTGAAACACACAAAGTGTGCGACAATCAAAATTCGAATCCGGCGCAACACAATGTGACAGAGAAGATTTCCGTAGTGCCTAAAAATGAAACGAAACAAGTGTCCAAAGACGAGATTAAAGACAAACCAACCAATCCGTCGAAAAACGAAACGAGGCAGCAGCCCCAGAATATGACGAAAGTGAATGCAACTGAGCAGCCAATGAATGCAACAAAAGAGTACCCAAAAGTCAACTTAGTATCTCCGAAAAAGCCAATCGATATTGGACCTCGCATCACACTGGATTCACTGCCCGTCTGCGAGGAGGGCTTTAAGCTATTCGGGACTCACTGTCGCAAGGAAGCCTAGAAAGCAATAAAACAATAATAAAAAAATCTCGCAAATATATTGACTTTTGTTGGGGGCTGTGTGCATATACGACTGGTGAGCACTGTAAAGCTTTAGCAGCTAGACTTTTTGTTTACATTTCAATGAATAACTTGTGCCGAGCTTTGGCTTCCAACTTTCCAGTTATGGTACTGCAAACATGGCCAAGCTTTGTATTTTTAATTTTTTTTTTTTAAATTTTTTGTTTGTGCTTAGCAAGCTATTGACAACAATGGATTCTTATCGCAACAATCTGTTGTTGCCACTGTGCCGTGTTTATTTCTCGCACTAGTCTTGCTGGAGAACCTCATCTCCACTCGACGCTCAGTCTCGAAAGCTCTGTCGAAGCAGACAAACGCGTTTTCAGTTTATCGGTTCGCTCTCCCAGCGCAGATGGGTAAACAAATATACAATGCATCCAAAAGCTATACACACACTGATCTTGTTTATTGTGGCTTGCTGGAGTGTTTGCGGCGTGGAGCTGCGCCTCTATTCTCCCACTAGCAAATATGATCGCATTGTGTTTCCCGTTGACAACGATGAGCCGATGTTCAACTACTACAATGAAACCAGCAGCACCACTAGCACCACCAGCACTACCACCACCAGCAGCAGCAGCATCACCACCACAGAATCACCATTAAACAAGACCAGCATGGCTTCCGAAGAGGTTCATCCGCTTAAAAATATCAGCAGCATCACAACAACAACGGCGACGACAACGGAACTACCCAATTTGGATAATCGCATTCTGCTTGATACTGATGCCGCCTGTCAACCGGGCTTTTCGCTACGAGCGGGTCGTTGTCGCAAATCTGCCTGAGCAGTATTTTTGGTTATGAAATTAAGTATACAATTATACATAGTGTTGAAATGCATGTGTGTGTGTTTCTGAAATAGTTATTAATAAAGGCAAAATATTCCCTGAGATTGTCAAATTCGTTGTTTGTTTTTGTTTCTCACGGAACGACTCTTAAATGAAATCGCTTTAACAATGCATTTTATTTTTTTGTAAATTCCCCCTGTAGAAGTTTCGCAACCAAAATACATGTATTGAATGTCTGTGAATCTGGTAGATTAAAAAGGTGTAGGTGTACATATATATATACCTGTAAGTATTACTACTTACATTTAATTCAACACCATTTATTATAAATTTAATGTTTTTACCAGTTTATCAGCATTCGTTTTTGTATAGTTTTTTACATCCCCTTGAACGTTATTGTAATATCTCGTTATCTCTGAAAGAGTTCGCATTACATAACAAAATTAAAGGTGTCGGCGGCTATGTGAACATAACAAAATGTTGTTTAAATGAGTTATCGAACAATCAGCCAATATACTCGCTAGCTATATATTTAAATTATGCACGGAACTGCTCACGTCTTTGATTTGCTAGCTCATCAATTTACATGATCACGATCTAGTAGCTCTTATAATCGAACTACTGTTCGATGCATGAGAGACCCGCTTATCACGCAAATCGGAATCTCTTTTGGAAATCAAACAGAATCCTAGGTACTCAGTCGGAATCACAGCGAGATGATTTCAGTCTCAATTGAGCAAACGGCAACGACAGAAGCAGCAGCTCGATTGCAAACTTGTATGTTAAAAATGATTTCGAAGCCCGGGCTCTTATCGCTGAACCTCGGTCTGTTGCTGATAGCCCTGCTAAGTGCGCAGATAATCCAGGCCCATCACCATCAACCGCATTATCCGTATGGGGATCCTCAGTACAGTGGTAACGGAAGGGACTACCCGCCGCCACATAGGTGCGTTGATAAGTTACTCCTTTACCCACATAACTAAACAATCTTAATATGCATCTTCATCACAGGCCACATGGACAAGGAGCACATTATGGACATGAAGCACATCATGGACACGGACACGATCACAATCAGTTCAATAATCCCTATCCAGATAGCCATGCAGGCGTTTCGGGACAAGGTCCCAACTTCGTTGGAGGTTTCTATGGAGGTGGACAGTCACGAGGGCGCCCAGGCTACGGCCATGGTGGAGTTGCTTACGGTAATGGTCGCCAGCATCCAGAAGATAACTACGGTGGTCAGCAACCCAATGGAGGCCAGCGACCTGGAACTGGGTACGAACGTCAGTGGCCGGAAGCTGGATACGAACATCAAGGAGCGAATTCAGGTTTTGGTGGACAGCCAGGCGCTGGCTTCGATAATCAACACAGGACGGATTATGGCACACGACCGGTTCAGCCACGTCCCAATGAAACTAACTATGAAAACGAGCAAAGCGGTAATCCCATCCAGCCCCACCCTCAACCAGGTGGTCAGGACACAACGGAGTTGACCCACCAACAGCCTGGCAACGTTGGCTCTCCTTGGCAACCACGCCCAGGAGCTGACACAAGTGATCAAAATGATTTTCAACAACAAGGCGGCAACCCTTTCCAAGCACGTCCTCAACCAGGCGTTCAGAACACAACAGAGTTGAGCCACCAACAACCTGGCAACGCTGGCTATCCTCTGCAGGCTCGCCCTGTTACAGGATCAAACGATTCAAATGAGCTTCAACAACCCATCGGCGAACGCGCTGTCAATACTCTGCCTATTGTATCTAATCCTACTGATGAAACAGGCAATTTTATTCAACCACTTCCAGGACGACAGCAAACACCAGAGGCAGGATTGCAGCATCCCGGCAACGTCTTCCAACCGCAACCAGCTATTAACGGCAACTTTTCGAATTCCGAAAGAAATCCACTTAACATTGAAGATAGTATTGCGGCCATATTCAATACACCTAAACTTAACGATCATGGATCTAGGGACCCCAAGGCGCATGTTGTGGACGGTGAACCGGACTCGATTGATCAACGTAATCTATTTGAGACAATGGCACAATGTCCCGAGGGATCCGAAATGTTGGGCGGGCGCTGTCGCTACAAGGTATAAACAGATGTTAATTTCATCAGTTGACACAATATGAACTACTGAATTGGCCAAACAATGTAGCAATCTATATTTAAATTCGAACAAAAATTTTATGAAGTATGTTAATTATAAATTTACTTTTACACTATCTGATCTGATTTTAAGGAATTGAAATACAGTATATTATTCGATCAACAGTAAGGAGCGCCTATTTGTTTGAAGGAATGTCAGATATTATACTTATTCAGCATAATTTTTGAAATCTATGTGATCGAACAGAACCAGAAGTTGCTAACGAGAACATAAAATAAATAAGAATCTGGGTTCAACTGCCAACCAACCAGCAACTCTCTTAAGCTCTGACAACCCTCAAGTATACCTGTATATACCTGTAAATATTACTACTTACGTTTAATTCAATACCATTTATTATAAATTTAATGTTTTTACCAGTTTATCAGCATTCGTTTTTGTATAGTTTCCTACATCTCCTTGAACGTTATTTTAATATCTCGTTATCTCTAAAAGAGTACTATCACGAGCTAGTAGCTCTTATAATCGAATTACTGTTCGATGCATGAGAGACCCGCTTATCACGCAAATCGGAATCTCTTTTGGAAATCGAACAGAATCCTAGGTACTCAGTCGGAATCACAGCGAGATGATTTCAGTCTCAATTTAGCAAACGGCAACGACAGAAGCAGCAGCTCGATTGCAAACTTGTATGTTAAAAATGATTTCGAAGCCCGGGCTCTTATCGCTGAACCTCGGTCTGTTGCTGATAGCCCTGCTAAGTGCGCAGATAATCCAGGCCTATCAGCATCAACCGTATTATCCGTATGGGGATCCTCAGTACAGCGGCAACGGAAGGGACTACCCGCCGCCACATAGGTGCGTTGATAAGTTACTCCTTTACCCACATAACTAAACAATCTTAATATGCATCTTCATCACAGGCCACATGGACAAGGAGCATATCATGGACATGGAGCACATCATGGACACGGGCACGATCACAATCAGTTCAATAATCCCTATCCAGATAGCCATGCAGGCGTTTCGGGACAAGGTCCCAACTTCGTTGGAGGTTTCTATGGAGGTGGACAGTCACGAGGACGCCCAGGCTACGGCCATGGTGGAGTTGCTTACGGTAATGGTCGCCAGCATCCAGAAGATAACTACGGTGGTCAGCAACCCAATGGAGGCCAGCGACCTGGAGCTGGGTACGAACGTCAGTGGCCGGAAGCTGGATACGAACATCAAGGAGCGAATTCAGGTTTTGGTGGACAGCCAGGCGCTGGCTTCGGTAATCAACACAGGACGGATTATGGCACACGACCGGTTCAGTCACGTCCCAATGAAACTAACTATGAAAACGAGCAAAGCGGTAATCCCATCCAGCCCCACCCTCAACCAGGTGGTCAGGACACAACGAAGTTGACCCATCAACAGCCTGGCAACGTTGGCTCTCCTTGGCAACCACGCCCAGGAGCTAACACAAGTGATCAAAATGATTTTCAAAAACAAGGCGGCAACCCTTTCCAACCACGTCCTCAACCAGGCGGTCAGGACACAACAGAGTTAAGCAACCAAGATCCTGAGAGCGTTGAGTGTTTTTGGTATCCACGCCCAGCAGCTGACACAAGTGATCAAAATGATTTTCAACAACAAGGCGGCCACCGTTTCCAACCACGTCCTCAACCAGGCGGTCAGGACACAACAGAGTTGAGCCACCAAGAACCTGGCAACGCTGGCCTTCCTTGGCAGGCTCGCCCTGTTAAAGGATCAAACGATTCAAATGAGCTTCAACAACCCATCGGCGAACGCGCTGGCAATACTCTGCCTAGGGACCCCAAGGCGCATGTTGTGGACGGTGAACCGGACTCGATTGATCAACGCAATCTATTTGAAACAATGGCACAATGTCCCGAGGGATCCGAAATGTTGGGCGGGCGCTGTCGCCGCAGGGTCTAAACAGATGTTAATTTCATCAATTGACACAATATGAACTACTGAATTGGCCAAACAATGTAGCAATCTATATTTAAGTTCGAACAAAAGTTGTATCAAGTTTGTTAATTATAAATTTACTTTTACACTATCTGATCTGATTTTAAGGAATTGAAATACAGTATATAATTCGTTCAACAGTAAGGAGCGCCTATTTGTTTGAAGGAATGTCAGATATTATACTTATTCAGCATAATTTTTTAAATCTATGTGAACGAACAGAACCAGAAGGTGCTAACGAGAACAGCGGCATCCCCATTCAACAAAGAAAATAAATAAGAATCTGGGTTCAACTGCCAACAAACCAGCAACTCTCTTAATCTCTGACAACCCTCAAGAATGGAAGCAGATATTCAATATGAAATTAAGTCAATGAACTCCATTTGATACATGGTAAAATTCAGAATAATCTAGTGAATAAATAATGGAAATAAAATTCAAAATATTTGCCGTATATTATTTTAGTTCAAAATCATCATCAATCAAAATAAATACAATTTGCTCGTTGACCATTTACCATTTTGGTCATTTTTAATGTTGGCATAGCGAAAGAATGCGAAAGAATGTAACACGCAGTAGGAAGTATATATATTCTATATATATATATATATTCTTCAACAGAATTAGCAGCCGAGTCGATCTGTCTATTCGTATGTGGGAATGTCGCTTCCTCAGAGACTGAGTCCAAATTGAAAATATTTTGATTTTTGAGACTTCGATTCTACTTCCATTTGTGGGAAGCGAGCAGCATGATAAGCAAAGTAAGCAAAAGATATATGTGTTTGCACACTGCAGCGTAAATAACGAAGTAGAATACCCAAACCATTTTGTTGCATAGATAATTTCATATTTATTCAGCGCGATATTGTTTCAGCCTCAATATAAGAAAGTCGTTATCTGCAGCTCAATGTTAACAGAAGCGTATAAATGTTTCCTTATGAATACAAGTACAAATTCCAATAATCAACAAAAATAATTATTTGTATTTGTCACACAACTTGAGAACCGATTAAGCAGTAAATAATCGAAATGAAATTGAAACTGGATCGTTGTTCATTGTTTTTCTTGAATCAGTTGTACTTATTATTCATCATAAATATCAAATGTACATTTACAGAATTTGTAAGCCCTTCATCATTATAAATATCATAGCTAGATTCAACTGATTCACATTTTTGTAATTGTTTTCGTCAACCCCCGAGATTTTCGCTCGGGTTATTCTCATTAAAACAATATTAAGTGCGTCATGTTGTTTACGCTGCTATATATGCTATATTGTGGTAGTGTGACATCACAAAATATTCTCATTAAACTGATATCGAATGCGTCATATTCATGACGATATTTTAAGATACTGTGTGCTGGTGACATCCCCAACCGGAGAGAGCGAGAGACCCCTCGCATTAGGAAAAGAAGTGGGTGAGCTACTTGTACTCAGCTCGCTTGTGTCGTAATTTCTGTTGAAATTAATCCCAGCGGTATCATAAAGGCATGTCAACTGACCCCGACTGATTAATGCCACAGAGTAATGCAAACGTTGAAGTGTTCTCTATTTAAGCGTACAAACTGTTTAGGCCCAGTAAGAACACATTTAGTTGCAATCGAGACGCTCTGTTAAATAGTCGATATTCTCCATTCCATTCGAGACATGAAGCTTATATCTAGAAAATGGCTGTCTCAGCTGCTTATAATGCTGATATGCCTAAATGGATTGACCGCAGCGATACCAGCGCGATCGGAACACTTCATCAGGTGTCCGCCCCGCTTCAAGTTGTACTTTGGACGTTGTCGACTGCCCGCCTGAACAGCACTCGGATCTTAGTTTTGATAAGTCATTCCTAGTTATGATAGGACAAGTTTTTGTGGATATTGTGTAATTGTTTATATTTATTTATCTTAATATTATTCATAAGCTTTATAAATAAACTCTCGTATCGTCATATATTGCAACTGATTCGGGTTGTTATCAAATTGATTGCCACAGCTGGTGGCAAGAAAGAAATTCAAGTGCTAGTTGCAAACCAAACAAAAACTGATCAAGCAGAGAAAACTGATAAGCATTGGTCAATCCGTAATCTCTATGCTAATATGAATCGCCTAGCAAGGTCGAAAATAAATAAATATATACTAAATTTTATTTACGTTTATAATTGGCATAATCCATTGCACTTGCTGACACTTGTCTAGTCAGAGATTTTGCTTACACTCCAATTGTTTAACTAAGTTATTAAGTTATTTATCATAGTATATTATTGCTGGTTTTGCATGTTGTTGAATAGCTTTGCTCAGCTGGCAGCTTTGTAATTAGGCAATGATTTTTTTAACTGTCCAATGCCTTAATTTGATTCATAATACCGATCTCTGGGCAGTCAGCATAAATTTAAAGTAGACTTGTTAAACAATCTGGCCACAAATATTGCCAGGGGATAAAATATTAGTTGCCACTCGATGTCACCTGGCTCATTAAAACCCATTGAATTACTACGCTCTGCATCATTAATTGACAAGACTCTGAAAGTAAGCAAAGCTTGGAATGTAAACACAATTGTAAAGTGCGATTAAAGCTTTATAAAAAGCTTAAACTACTGGCAAAGCTCAGTGATCAAGCTTTAAGAGCACAAATTCTACGAATACGATTAGAGAACTGTCCGAGAATGCGGAGAGATCTGTATTGACAGTGGGGAAGACAACAATAACATTATTATATATCTGCCCCGGCCTAAATGTTAAAGATGAACACTAATTTAATACACTCGGTTTGATTTGAATAATTATAATTTATTTATACATTTATAAAGAGTTGCTTACGATTATAATTAGCTAAGTCCACTGTGCATTGTGAATTGGTTCTTGTTGACACTAATATAGATTTTTTCTGATTAAATGCTTATCGAATATGTAAAATTATTTATCATAATCTCTTCTTTAGTTATGCACTATGTGTATGTATGAAATATGGTCTTTTCTTAGAACACTTATCTTGATATTATTCATGAGCTTTATAAAGAAGCTATTGAAAGTTATTGTATTGCTTCACACAGCTGGACGCTTATTAATTAGGCAGTGACTTTAGCAAGAGCATGAGAAACTTTTATTTGATTTATAAAACACATTTCGTGGAAGTTAGAAAAATTTAAAATTAACCTTATTAAGAAATGTTGCGACAACGATTATTATCGGTTCGTATTTGACCCTCTCGACATGCTATTATTACTTGACCAATGACACTTTGCAATATGGGATTCTTTGAGTTATTGAATACTGTGTCGTTAATTGACATATTTGTTTCCTCCTTTTTGTTATTTGCGTCCTTAATGGGCGATCCTGCGCTTAGCGAGCTAAACAAACTGCAGAAAAACAATCCCAAGCACAGTGCGAGAATGTGGCGATCAGCTGACATTTTTTAAAAGAGTTTCTCTTTACTTAGACTTCACACTTGCCCAAGGCTGGTTGCAAACTGAACAAAATTCAAAATGCAGAAACAATTTTTGAGTATGGTTTCAGCGTTAATGAAAGCTTTGACACTCAAATGGCTTTAAAAACAACGATTGATAAAGTTTTAGCTTTCAAGCTTTGAGAGCACAAGAAAAAAAAGCTTTCAGAAAGCACAAAGAGATCGGCATTATCACATTTCGTTCCGAACAACAGTTACAATATTTTATATTTCATCAGGTTTACATGTTTAATTGAATTTTATAATCCATTTTTTCAATTATGTCAAATATTTTATTATATATATATTTAGATTTTATTTACGATTATAATTACAATGGCCCACTGTGCATTGCTAATGGGTACTTTTTGATATGGCCAGAGCTTTTTCTTGCACTTGAATTGGTCAACTTGTTGCTGATTAAATGCGTATAAAATATGTGGAATTTCTTCTTATTTGATTATTCATTCATTAATTTGGCACTAGCACATTTAGCTTACGTAATTCTTTATAATTTCACTTATCTTAAAACTATGCGTGAAAAACTGTGATTTTTTGGGTTTTTACACACTGAGCTCGTAATTGCTCAGTTTTTGGTCTCGACGGCTGCTCGGATCCGTTCGTTATTAGCATTGGTCTTGGCTGCAGCAGCATTCATGCTGTTTGCAGTTGGATTAATAGCGTCCCATCCGATCCAGCAAATCGCGTGCACAACCAGCACAACAATTCCAATGCGAACAGCTGGCTTGTGCATAAAGCTCTTTGCAGCGTTTCTACCATTTCTACCGTTCTCCATGCTGATGTGTACTGAATGCTCTGAACATATGGCACAGCATGTGACGTCAGTCTTAGAGAGAAAGAGAGAGAGAGAGACACACACACAGCGAGAGCGGGTAAATAAAAGCTCTAAAAGCTTCCGTCCCAGGGCTGCGATCTTCAAATTGCTGAATCAGTTGAGTTTTGCAACTGTTTAAATCAATATTTGAAAGCAATTTGCAACCAATAATATCTGCTAAGAATCTAATTAATAATTTTAAAAAATAAACAAAAACCAAGCACATAAATTTATATCTTTTTCTTTATCTGCACACCTTTGAGTAATTTCATAAGACGTTTCTTAAATCACATCTGATCACAAGTTCTATTTTGTTACTCTCTCAACTTGTTACAACAAATTGCTTGTTTTTCAGTGTGGTTTTCTATCTCGATAAACACTACAATAAAATGCAGCAACCCGGTTTGCTTTCTTTATTCGTTTAAGATTGGAATTAGCACTTCAGTTTTTTATCGTCAGCATTTTGAGTGTTTATTGAGAGTAAGCTTTGTGTCTTCTTTTTTGGCATCTTTAACAACTCAAAATGTTATCCACTGACTGGTTTGGCCTTTGTCTGTAAACCACAGAACTTTGCAATGGCAAAAAACACACACAGAGCTGGCGCAGAAAGCCAACTCTGGCATCAAATGGCACACAAAACGCTCGTATTACGGATACGCCAGGTGTGTAGTCTGTAGTCCGTACTCTTTAGTCTATAGTCTATAGTTGCCACCCAAACACAACTCAAAAGTCGGCAGAGTATGGTCTGCGGCGAGCTGAAGCTGAAAGATTGAAGCTGCAGGCAAAGCTGGAATTAGCATGTTATGTTTAACGCATTTTTGCACCTTCGACGTGTGTCTGTGTCTGCCTGACTTCCCGTCAACTCACAGGGTGTGT